GTACGGCATGGGGGAGGGGGAGAGTATGGGGCATGGCGGGGGCGCAGGGGGAGGCCAGGGGGAGGAAGGGGCGGAGGGGGAGAGGGTGAGGGGGAGGCGGGGCGGGGGTGCCAGCGACGCCTGCAGGGCAGGGTGGCCTGGAGCAGGGCGCGGCTATCGAGTCACGCCGCCCTCTAAGGTGCCTTGCTCTCGTTCTCGCTTGCTGCTTTGCTTCCCCTGGTGTGTGCCGCACGGTTCGCCACTCTCACCATCCACTGGCCTTGCCTCGCTCTACTGCTCTGCCCTGCCTCCCCTTTGCATTTGCACATGTGTGCGCCGCTCCTCCATGCGCTCATCGCTTACACCCTCGCACAAGCCCTTCCCCCCCCACCCTCCCCCGGCCCCCCGCCCTTCTCTAATCTCCATCCCCCATGCCCCATCTGCCTCCCCCTACCAGGGCCATTCCCCATGGACGGTGCAGCCTTGGGCGCAACTCCCCCCCCTGCCCCTGGTTCCGCCCTGGCGCGCTTGCAGCAGGAGGGGGCCAGGGGGAGCTGCGGGGCAGGGGGGAGGTTGGGGTGGGGGCATGGGGGGAGAATGGGCGCAGGGGGCCATCAATGGGGGGAGGGGGGGGCAGGCGGGGCAGTACCAGCCGCAGCAGGGCGGGCAGGGGGCGGCCGCCTGCAGTGTGGCAGCATGGGTCAGGGAGGGGTACCACATCGAGATCAACCTGCCGCCCACCAAGTGAGTGCGACTATACTGAAGTTGTAGTAGTGCTGTCCCGTCAACACCGTTGTATCCGCCATTTGATTCTTGTGCATCTTTCACCCAAACACTCTGTCTGACATGTCTGTGCTATCAAACCCGGTTGGCCCCCATGGACGGCGCAGGACGGTGTTCGATCTGGACATCGACAGCCTCGAGGACAAGCCGTGGCGCCGCCCGGGCGCTGATGTCAGCGACTACTTCAACTTTGACATGAACGAGGGCTGTGGCGCGACTACTGCCACCGCCTGGTATGTGGGTGTGGCGCGACTACTGCCACCGCCTGGTAATTAGTTCACGTGAGGGCTGTATGGGTGTTAATCAGGGGACTAGAGTGAAGGGGTGCTATGATGTCTTGGGGAGGGCGGATGGGGGTTGTTCAGAGTTGGGTGCATGGCAGCAAGTGGGGTGGTGGTGTAGCATTTGGCACGAACATCTTTTTTCTATTAGGATTAGAGGTCATGATGAGCCTTGTAGGCACCAATGAGTGCATCAGAGCTCGTGATGTTGACCCACTCCCCCGCCTCGCTCTTACCAAACCCACCGGCTCATCCCACTCCCCACACTTGTCATCCCTTCCCACTCCCGCTCACCGCACAGGCCCAGTTGCGTCTGGAGGCGAGCATGCAGAGCCGCATCCCCGTGTTCGAGTCGCGCATGGCCACTGAGGTGAGCGCATGGCCACTGAGGTGAGCGCATGGCCACTGAGGTGAGCGCATGGCCACTGAGGTGAGCGCATGGCCACTGAGGTGAGCGCATGGCCACTGAGGTGAGCGCATGGCCACTGAGGTGAGCGCATGGCCACTGAGGTGAGCGCATGGCCACTGAGGTGAGCGCATGGCCACTGAGGTGAGCGCATGGCCACTGAGGTGAGCGCATACTCGCCTTGCCTCGCCTCGGGGCAAGTACTTGCTCGGGTAGCAAGCAAGTACTCGCCCCGATTGCTCTTGCATATGTTTGGGTGCTCGTATCTTTGGGGTTCGTACGTTTGGGCGTTCGTACGTTTGGGCGTTCGTACGTTTGGGCGTTCGTACGTTTGGGCGTTCGTACGTTTGGGTGTTCGTATGTTTGGGTGTTCGTATGTCTAGGGGTTCGTATGTTTGGGGGTTCATCTGTTTGGTTGTATGGTTGTTCGTATGTTTGGACATCCCATCCCCCCTCTCATCCCTCCCCCCCCTGGTCAGGACATCGACCCCGAGATGCCGCCTGAGCTGGTGACAGCTGTCACGCACGCCATGGGCAGCCGCCCGCACGCCGACGCCCTCTTCTTCGTCGAGCGGCCGCCCCTCCTGGGAGACGCGCCGCCCGCGCCCTGTGGACGCTGACGTTATCATCGAGGTGAGGAGACTGCTGACGTCATGGGGGCGTACGGCACATGATGCATGGTGCGGTGCATGATCGCCCGGACGATGCATCTCGTGGCGATCTGATCTGGTTTCCCCCCAGGAAAGCCACCCCTGCATAGCAGCTTCCCATCCCTCTCCCCCCTCCTCTCCTCTCCCTACCCCGCTTTGCCGGTGCAGGTGCCGGTGGAGGGGCTGGCCATGGAGGCCCCCTCCGCCCCCCCACCTGCTACCCCCCGACGCCCCGCCCATCCCTGCCGCTCCACACTCTGCGGGGCCCACTGCTGACGCTCGCAGGGGGATGGGGGCAGCAGGGGGAGGCGCAGGGGGAAGCGGAGGGCAGGGGGAGGACCTAGTGGCAGCGCAGGGGGAGGAGGTGGAGCAGGGGGTGGGAGGGGGATGCATGGGGAGGGGCAGGGAGGCAGGGCGCTGTCAGGGCAGCAGGGCGCGCCTGGGGGAGGGCCAGCTAGTTCAGGTGGCACCCCAGCTGTTTCTTCAGGTGCTGCTGCTGCTGCCGGGCCGCCCAGTTGCGCTGCCTCTGTGGAGGGTGCATCAGGGGGGGCAGCAGGGGGAGCAGCAGGGGGGCTGCCTGGTGCTCTCCCCCGCCTCCCCCCCTCCCCCGCGGGCAGCATCCCCCCTTCCCGCCCATGTTTCCTGGGGACCAGATGGCATGGGCATGGGGGCGGGGATGGGCATGGGGGGAGGGGAGTGGGCATGGGGCGCGGGGGAGTGGGCGGGTTTGGGATGGAAGGGGGAGGAAGGGGACGCGGCATGGGCCTGGTCCCGGGCACATGATGAGGTGAGCGTCTTCATCTTCATGCGCAGTAGTGTGGGGGTGGGATGAATGCGTGACGCGAGTGGGGCGTTTGCATGGAGGAACATGTGGCTGTGGATGCGGTACCGTGTGTGCCACTCATGTCGCCGAAGGTGGTTTTTGAGTCGACTCAAAAATCACCTTGGATGCCATACCTTGTGTGCCACTCACCCCGCCGCCACCTCATATGCCGCCACCTCATATGCTGCCACTGCTCCATTCTCTTTCGCCCATGCATCATGCGGTCCTCTCTCCCCATCCGATCACCCTTTCCCTTGTGCCCTTCTCACCTCCTTCCCTTACTTCTTTCTCCCCCTCCTCCTCCCCCCATAGGCCCGGCGCCCCCATGGGGATGGGGATGAAGCCCGGCATGCTGCCCCCGCACATGCACCCCCACCCCATGTTCCTGCGCAGCCCCCCTGCTGGCGCCGCTGGCCCCATGGGCGGACCCATGGGCGGAGGGATGGGGGGAGGCATGGGTGGAGGTATGGGGGGAGGGATGGGGGGTGCGGGGGGCCCCATGGGGGGAGGCTCCAGGCGGGGAGGATTCGATATGGGGGGTGGAGGAGGGTTTTCTGGGGGGATGGGGATGCACCGCCCCCCCCTTTCCCCCACCCATGCTGCCAGCTATGCCACTGGAGGGGAGAGCATGGGGGAAGGGGAGGGGCGCATGGGGGCAAAGTCGAGGAGGCAGGGAGGGGGAGGGGGGGACGGGGGGATGCAGAGGAGGAGGATGAGGAGGGCTATGGGAGGATGAGGGTATGGGGAGGAGGAGAGAGGAGAGGAGGAGGGGACAGAGAGAGTGGGATGAGGAGGAGGAGGTGGAGAGGGGGAGAGGGAGAGAGGGCGGGAAGGGGCGGGGTTGGGATGAGTATGGAGGGAAGGAGAGGAAGAGGAGGAGGATGAGGGGCGACGAGGGGCCAGAGGAGGCGGAGGAAGAGTGGGAGGAGGAAAGGGGCAGGCGGGGGGAGTGGAGGGGGAGAGAGGGCAGGGGGGAGAGAGAGTGGGGGCGGGAGAAGGGAGGGTTGTGGGGAGAGAGAGACCGAAGGGGGGGACGGGGGGAAGGGGAGGGGTATGGCCGGCGGGGAAGAGGCATGGGGAGGGAGGAAGGGGGTTTTGGGGAGGGGCCCGTGGGGGGGAGGGAACGAGGGGAGGAGAGGCGGGGGAGGTACAGGGGGGAGGAGGAGGGGCGGAGGCAGGGGGACGTGGGGTGGAGGAGGGAGGGGCGGGAGGGGGGTGAAGGGGGGAGAGTGTCAGGGTTCGATAGGCGAGGGGGGGAGTTTGGGGAGGGGAAGGAGGGGAGGAGGGATAAGAGGGAGTGGCAGGAGGAGAGAGGGGGGGATGAGAAGAGGAGGAGGGGAGTGGGGCGAAGGGGGGAAGAGGACAAGGGAGGGGAGTTTGGGCGTGCGAAGGGTATGCGAGGGGAGGGAGAGTGGGAGGACGAGAGGGAGGAGTGGGACGGCAGGGGGGAGAGAGGACTTTCAGTGGAGAGACGGGGGGGGAGACGGGTGGAGGAGGAGGGAAGAAGGGGAGACGAGCAGGGAGGGAGGAATGGGATGAGGCAGGATGGGGGGAGAGTGGGGGTAGGGGAGACCAGCATGCGGGGAGGAGAGGAACGAGGGATGGGAGAGAGGGGAGGCAGTGGAGGGAGGGGAGGGAGAGTGAGGGAGAAGAGGAGTGGGCGGAGGGCAGGCACGAGGAAGGTGGGAGGGTGAGAGGCACGAGGGAGAAGCGAGGGAAGGTAGGGATGGAGGAGGCGAGAGGCGGAGGGGAGGGCGATGGTGAAGGAAGCTGGGCGCTGAGGGGGCGGGAGGGGCGGAGAGAGGCGGGCAGTAGGAGGAGGAGAGGGGGTTCGGGTGAGGGGGATGATGAGCAGGAGAGTGGGGAGGGGCGGGGAGTGCTGAGGGGGGAGGGCAAGGGGGAGGACAGGGGAGAGGGGAAGGGAGGAAAGAGGGACAGGGGGAAGGGGGCCGCAGGGGAGCAGGAGGAAGGAGGTGAAAGCGAGAGGAGGAGGGGCAGGCGGGAGAAAAGGGGGCAGAAGGAGGAGGAGGAGGAGGGGAAGGGGGCTCGAGACGAGGACGAGCGCAGGGGTAAAGGAGGGGAGGGGCGAGGTGGGGACGAGGAGGGTGGGGAGGAAAGGGGGAGGGATGAGGCGGAGGAGGAGGAGGATGGCGGGGGGATGCGGTGGACTACGGCAGCATGTGGGACGACCACGATGGCGAGGGGGCCGTGGGGCTGGAGGCGTACGAGGGGAAGGAGGTGGACGGGCAGGGTGGGGGGGATGAGAGGGAGAGGGATGAGAGGGGGGAGAGGAAGGGGAAGGGCAGGGGTGAAGTGGAAGGAGGAGACGGGCAGAGGGGCGGGCATGCGAAGGAGGGGGAAGGGCGTGGTGACGAGGAGATGGCGCATGGGCATGGGAAGGAGGGGCGTGGTGACGAGGACGCGCTCCATGAGCTCCATGAACGCCCTCCCACGCCGGTCAGTCCCAGCCCCTCACACACCTGCATGCTTGCACGCCTGCATGCTTGCATGCGTGCATGCGTGCTTCTGGGTGCGCCTGATTCTCGCCCACCTGCCACCGTTCCGGCTTGCATGCTGCCCATGGGCCACGCCTCAAGGCATCCGCCATGTGTCTCTCTACAACTGTTGCATCCCTCTGTGACCATGGCGTGAGACAGTTGTCCAGTCACTACCCCTCTCATCCCGCCCCCTTTCTCCTTCCCTGCCTTTCCCCCACCTCAATCCTCCCCTCACCTCTCACTGACGTCAGACTGCCGACTTTGATGACGATGATGACGTGGCGGCGCCAGCTGGCAAGGGGCAGGAGACGGAGAGGGGTGATGGGGAGGAAGACGTGAGGGGCAGAGCGAAGGATGGGAAGGATGGGAAAGATGGGGAGGATGGGGAGCAGCAGGGAGAGGGAGGGGCGAGGGAGGGGAAACGAGGTGGGGGGGGCAAGGAGCGCGGGGAGGAGAGGGGGCGAGGGGAGAGAGGGAGAGGTCGGGAGGAGGGCAATGGGGCAGGGGAGGAGGTGGTGGAGGGAGGTGCGGGGGGGAGAGAGAAGGGTGGTTTGGAGGAGCGGGAGGAAGCGAGGGGAGGGGAGGAGGCAGCAGCAGGAGGGGGGGAGGAGGAAGAGGAGTATGAGGATGAGCTGGCCTTTGAGGGGGAGGACTTTGGAGAGATGTATGAGGAGGACGAGGAGGAGGAAGGAGGGGGTGAGGAGGGGAGTGAGAAATGCAGGGAGGGCAGGGAGGGCAGGGAGGGTAGGGAGGGTAGGGAGGGTAGGGAGGGTAGGAGGGTAGGGATAGGGAGAGGGGCAGATGGGTGAGGGAGAGGGGCAGCGATGGAGCAGGCGGTCCCGATGCTGCTGATGCTGATGCTGCCTCTGGCGTCGCCAGGCCATTCTCCCCGAGAGGCCCGCCTCACCAGCACGAGGGCAGGTTCCATGAAGGGGCGCGGTACGGGGGAGGCAGGGGCAGGGGCGGGCGAGGAGGGCCCTTGCCCCCAGGGCTTGCACACGCGTATGGGGGGAGGCATGGCCGGCATGGGCGGGGGAGATGGATGGGCGGACGCATGGGGCCCAGAGATATGGGCATGGGCATGGGCATGGGGATAGGTATGGGGATGCCGCCGGGGTTGGGGATGGGCATGGGTGGGCCAGGTCCGGGTGCAAGTGGAGCAGGTGGCATGGTGAAGGGGGGAAGGATGGTTGCAGGGAGTGCGGGGGGGAGGGAGAACTATGGGTCCCCCATGGGGTATGGGCGAATGGCTGTCGACGCACCACTTGGCAGGATGGGAGTGGATGGTGGAGGGTTCAGCAGGAGGGGAGGGGAGATGCTGGGGCGAAGGCAGGAGGAGGTGAGGGACGGTGGGGTGGGGGTGGGAGAAAGGGCGGAGAAGGCAGTGGAGGGAGACGAGAGGAGGGGGGCATGGCGAGAGGAGCGGGAGGAGAGGGGTGAGAGAGGTGAGAGGGTGAGGGAGAAGTGGAAGGATGAGCGGGAGAAGGAGAGGGGCTTTAAGGAGGAGCGTGGAGGGAGTGTGGGTCCGGAACCAGAAAGGAGCGGGCGGAGCAGGGTGAAGGAAGAGAGAGGTGAGAGGAGGGAGAGGGGTGAGAGGAGAGAGAAGGACGAGAGGAGAGAGAAGGATGAGAAGGTTGATCGTGGTGGAAGGGGTGATAAAGGGGAGAGGGGAGGGCGAGAGCGAGAGGAGAGGGAGGGAGGAGGGGAGAGGGCGAGTGAAGAGGGGTTGAGAGGCCGGGAAAGGCCGAAGCAGAAGGGAAGGGAGAGAGGAGGGGAGAGGGAGAGAGGAGGGGAGAGGGAGAGAGGGGAGAAGGAGAGGGAGCGGGAGAGGGGAAGGGAGAGGGCAACAAGTGTGGGTCAGGAGCGAGAGAGGGAGGCGGTGGGGAAGGGGGAGGAGAGGGCGGGGATTAAAGGGGAGAGGGAGTGGAGGAGAGGCGAGAGAGAGGAGTGGAGAGGCAGTGAAGGAGTGGGGCGAGAGGGTATTGGGCGAGAGGAGGTGGGGAATGAGTTTATGGGACGTGAAGGGATGGGGCGCGAGGGTGCGGGCAAAGAGGGGCCAGTGGCAGACCTGAGAGTGAAGCTGCGTGAGGAGAAGGGCAAGGCGGGGCGAGGCAGGGAGAAGGAGGGCAGGGAGAAGGACGGGAGGGAGTGGGAGGGCGAGGAGCGGGAGGAGAGGGGCCGGGAGAAAGGGCGAGGGCGGGAGGAGAGGGAGAGGGGGAAGGAGAGGACGAAGGAGAGGGGGGGGGAGGAGGAATGGAGGGTCCATTGGAGGAAGCAGGAGGGGATAGGAGGAGGGGAGGGGAGTCACGAGGCGGGGAGAGAGGTGATCGGCACGCGCACAGGGGCCCACCACCTGGGGAGGACGGCAGGAGACCAGGTACTGCCCCTCACTCCCCTTCTCCCGCTGCTGCAGACAGTGCTGCAGCTGCTGCTGCTGCTGGTGGCACTGCTATGCGTCGCAGTGCTGTGCAGCGCACAGACGGGCATCTGGTGGTGCAGGTGGGGGGAAGGGGGGCGGAAGGTGCGGCGGACAAGAGAGGGGGGCGCACTGGCGGGACAGCCAGAGCCAGGGTCACCTGGTGGTGCACGTGGGGGGGGAAGGGGCAGAGGATGGGCGTGGGGTGAGTGGTGGGGAGGATAGTGGCGCTCATGCTTATGCTGGGGGGGGGGGCGGAGGAGGAGGGAGGAAGCGTAAGTCGAGTGATGCAGGCACGGGGGAGGAGAGATGCAGAGAGAGGGAGGGGGGAGGAGGAGTGGGGAGGGGGAGTGAGGAGGGGAACATGCCAAGTGGTGCTGCTGGCGCTGGTACGCCAGAGGGAGCGCAAGGGGCGGCAGCAGGGGAGAGCAAGATGGAGCGGCCGGCGCGCAAGAGACGGTGGGCATGAGGGGGCGGTGGGGAGATGAAGGGGAGTGAGGGGAGGGCGGGGCGAGGAATGTGCAAGAGAAGCGGTGTGCGGTGAGGGAGGGAGGCGGCGAGGGGGTGGCGGGCAGGGAGGAGTGCTGGAGCATGGCGGCTAAGAGGCTCTGCTTTGCTGTGGAGCTCTCCTGCGAGCGTGGTGACGGATGGAGGCTGCTGCTGCTACAGGGGTGGACGTGCTGCCAGGGGGGCGATGCACGCAGCAGATTGCAGTGATGAGCCGCCAGGGGGGAATCTCACGAGGTGTCTTTCGAGCCAAGATGGGCATGGCTGCGTAGCGTACCGGGTGTGAAGGCATGGCTGCCGCAGCGGGTGTGTGCAGCCACACATGCCCACCTGTGTGCATGCTTGCCGCGGCACACCCACTGCTCTTCACATCCCCGTCAGCACCTGAGCAGACTATGGCAGCGGCCGGGCATGTGGTTGGTGCCAAGAAGGTGGGCATGTGGTTGGTGCCAAGGAGACGTGCCTGTGTGCAATTGTGGCAGGTGGGGAGTGCGCCAGGGCTGGAGGCCATGCGGGGTGGAGGCCACAGTGCTGGCACGACTGCCCAAGGAGCCTGGTGGTGCTCGAGTTCTCTTCCCTTGAATCAGGCTCCTCGGGAACAAGCTGCTTCTCTCAGACACTTTCTCCTCCCACCCTGCCTGCCTGTCCGCCTGCGTGCTGCTGCGTGACCCTGGTCACAACTCTGTCCTCTTGCGCCCTCCTGCTGCTGCTGCCACTGCTCTTGACATCTGCAGTAGCAGCAGGAGCAGCCCCTTGCCTGGGCTCTAGCAGCCTCTGGAGTCTGGAGTCTGGGACTTCTGCCCAGACAGATGCTCTCTGCTCTGCAGATGACCTTTGACTGACCTTTGACTCGCTTGACTTTGCTTGACTGGACACGTGCTTGTTTTGCGACTAGGTATGTGCATAACTGTTTGAAAGCTGCTGCATGCATGCGTAGCGTAGGCCATGTTTTGACGCAGGAATGCAGGCTGCATCCACAGCAGGTAGACACGGCATCTGGAAGCAGAGGAGGCAGAGGAGTGGATGGGGCAATGGCCGTACATATCATCATGCAGCGCTGCCCCTGCAAGTGCCACCACACCACACCGCACCACACCCACTGTCTCTCAGTAGGTTCCCTGTGCTGACGACGACCTTGCAAGGCACACGGGGCAGCAGACTGGTAGCCTGGTAGCACATGCCACAGGGAAGCTGTATAGACTCGTAGCAGCACTTAGTGTAGAAGCTGGTAGGGTGCAGATATGTGCTGCAGGTGCAGGGCCACGTATAGGCAGTTGCTACACAATGATAGAGGATGCTCGCTTGCAGCCCTGCAGTAGATACATGCCGTAACACGGTACGGCAGCGGTGGAGATGTGGGAATGGCCATGCAGTTCGGAGTTCAGCCCATGGGGGAATCGAGTGGCTCTTGAGCTCAGCAGTACAAAACAAGGCCAACACGACAACGCCGACCGATTGCTTGCCCAAACTGTACACGCTTGGGCGATGCTAAAGGACCGAATATATTAGTGAAAGTGCCCTTCCAGTGCGCCTAGTGATTGTCCCAATCAAGGGGCGTGCTTCAATGACCATTAAGTGCAGCAGAGTCCTCCGATTCAAGTGGTGATAAGCGGTCATTGGTCACTTGATAAGAGCTAAGATGTGTGCGAGCGATATAAGAACAGCTTCCTGCAAGCACCAACGGAGGGGGGAGGGGACACACGCACGAGGCGAGAAGCATGGCGCTCGTGCTCAGGCGTGCCCCGCTCATCAACCGACACAAGCACAGCTCAAGCCGCCAGTCCATGCAGGCCTCACACCCTCAATTCACGCCTGCCTCAATGCAGAACGTATCATGGCGCATGTGCCTCATTGCCTATTCCGCCTGCCTCCTCTCTCCCCTTCCCCCCCCTTCCCGTGCCTGCATCCCATGCCCTTCCCGTGCCTGCATCCCATGCCCTTCCCGTGCCAGCATCCCATGCCCTTCCCGTGCCTGCATCCCATGCCCTTCCCGTGCCTGCATCCCATGCCCTTCCCGTGCCTGCATCCCATGCCCTTCCCCCTCATCAAGGCCTTGCCCCCCGCCCTCACCTCGGTGCGGATGGTGCGCGAGCCCTGCAGCGAGCACGTGTTGAGGTAGTAGTGGCACAGCTGCTGCGGCTCCCTGCGGCCCTCCTCCAAGCCCTCGTCCAGCTCGCACGACTCCTCCAACCCCGCCACACCGCCAAACACTATCAACGCATGCCTGGGGAGGGGGGGAAACGAGGGGGACGAGGATGAGGGGGGGGGAGAAGAGGGGGGAGGGAGAAGAGGGGGGGAAACGAGGGGGACGAGGACGATGAGGGGAGATGGAAATGGGAAGACCTGGCAGTGTTGACATGTGACTGTGGAGGCCTGGGACTGTAGGGAAGATGTGATGATATGGAGGTGAGCAGAAAGGCAGGGAGGACGTACCGGAATGGCGGAAATTTGAATTGACCAATCTCCTTCACCTCTCCATGCTCCGAGGTACCGATTATCAGATCATACGCCCCTCCTCCTGCTGCTCCTCCCTCTCCTCCTCCCCCTTCTCCCCCCCCTGCCTCCCCATCCGCGCCCCCATCCCCATGCAAGCCTCGCTTCGCCCCTCTCTTCCTCCCGCCTCGCCGCCTCCTCTTCTTCCCCCGGCCCCCCTCCCCATCCTCCCCTCCTTCTCCCCCACCCTCCCTCCCCTCACCCGCCTCCGCCCCTTCCCCCACCCCTGCTCCCCCACTCCCCCCCACCTCAGCAGCAGCAGAGCTGCGGCCATCCCCTTTGCCCCCCCCTTCCCCTCCTTCCCCCCCAGCCCTTACAGCCCCGGAGAAGGGGCAGTCCTTGAGGGCCCCGGACACCCCTCTAGCAAGGCGCACGGAGTAGCCCCAGTACAGGCCCTTGCACGCCCAGGGGGCCAGGGGGGACACGGGGGAGAGCAGCACGCCTGGGGGGGGGGGAGGAAGGGGGGAGGGGGAGGGGGGAAATGAGAGCATGGTTCACTTATTGCAGCCCCTCACCTCCCAAGGCGGCCATCCCCCTCTCCCCTTACCCCTACCAAGCATCAAGGGGTGCAGGTGTAAGGTCTAGCCCCCCTCACCCGTCACCAGCTGGAGCAGGCATCGCCCCCCCCCTCCCCCCCCCCTCACCAGGAAGAAAAACCTTCTCTCGCTCCGATGCCGGCCCCATGGCCACCGTCAGCCGCGTGCCCTCCGAGAAGCTTCCCCGCACGTGCACCCTCTGCCACACACACGCGCCCAGAGTTTTTCCGTGGAGGAGGAAAGGGGGGGGGTGGGGGGGGAGGGATGAGGGGAGGAGGGAGGGAGGAGGGTTGGGGGCAGACGGCAGAGAGAAGAGGAGCAAAAGCCCAAGCAACGCATTACCGGGTCTATTGGAGACGACATTCCGTCCCCCCTTCTCACCTGCTGCAGCCCCACATCCACCACGCTGCTCCCCCCTGCGCCCCCCTCTCCCCCCTCCTCCGCCACCACCACCCCCTCGCGGAACTCCGGCCACTCGTGCATGCGCGCGTGGTGTGGCGCATCCAGCGGCGGAAGCAGCCCCGCCAGGCGCAGGTCCGGCGTCAGGGGAATCAGCGCGCGGCGCAGGTACTGCGGGGTGTCCAGATACTGCAGCACGCGCGCAAGAAACGACCCCCCGGACCCGGAAAACCGCTCCCCGCGCCACCCGCGCGGCCCATGTGAGTTGCCGTCCGCGGAGTCCCAGTCGTCGAAGACGACGATCTCGTGCACCCTGAAGATCACGGCGGCTCGCGCGATCTGCCCCGCCACCTGGAAGGGAGTTGAGGGCGGGAGGTCGCGAATGGGCGAGCAGTAAAGCACTTCACATTGCGCATTCGACACGAGCGCGCGCCATCTGGCGAGGGGTTAGGAAGATCAAATCGTCAGGCGATTAGGCGATTAGTCGACTATAGAGACGTTGAAAGGAGTAATGCAGGGCCGGAGAAAAGGGCTCTAGGTGAAAAAACGAGTTGAACGAGTGAAAACGGGCGAATTTCTACGAGGGTTGAGGGTTTTGGGGGGTTTTAACGAGGTAAGCAGGTGAAGCTCATACGGCGGTGGCGCGTTCGAGCGACTGCGTGTTGTCGATGATGGACCCGGGCACCGCGATCGATATCGTCGCCCGGTACTGCTGCTCTCCCGGCTTCGAGTTGCCATCCGCGCCGTCGCCCATTGGTGCTGAGTCTAACCTCAACGAGTGAAATGTGTTGGGCGGGCAAATCTTTGTCTCCCAGTTGGAAATCCAAATAACAAATACGCACCAGAATCGTAGGTTCAATGCGGTGAAGAACGGTGAATCCTCCAGAGCTATTGGCAATTTCACGGGACATCATTGTGCTCAAGTCCAAGTTCCTCCATTCCGCTCCCCCAAGCCGCATCTCGGCACTACTACCAGCAGCCCCTCGCGCTCATACCACCACACACCTCTGGTAGCAATAGTTGCAGTGTGCGGGCGCACTGAATCTACGGCCATGCAAAGACTTACTCGACTAAGGACTCCCCTCACCTCTCACGCCCGCCCACCATCCGCGCTTCTCCGAGCCCTTTTACCTCGCCCCTTTTGTCAACAGTCCTATAGTCACACTTGCCGTCCGCCCTCCGCTCGCCGCAACTTGCGCCACTCTTCTCCCTCCTTCCGCCAGCGAATTGGCACAGTAGCCGGCAGTAGACATCCACGCGGCAGTTCTGCCGGCCCAGTAGCTTCGGAGGGGCAAAAAGAAAATCTCGACCGTTCTGTAGAACCTTCAGGCTCACAATTACTGACGTCCGCCAATGGCGGGGTGCCACGTGTCCTGTGCCGATCTGAGATGGCCTTGGCGTGGCTGGCGCGCGAATTGGCGGAAAGAATTGGCGGCGAGAGCGAGGGGGGGCGGAGCGGAGAGCATGAGGGGGGGCGGAGCGGCGGAGCAGTGGGTGTGGGGGACGTGGTGTGCCTGGAAGGGGACGTGGGCGCGGGGAAGACCACTTTCTGGTGCGCTTGGTGTGGGGGGTGGGGGGAAAGGGGAATTGGGGGGGTGGGGCTGGGGCTGGGGGGATGGGGGGGGTGGGGGGGGTGGGGGGGGTGGGGGGGGATAATGAAGTTGTCCTTGAGTGGGGGGGGAATCGATGGTATGGCATGTCACCATGCAACCACCTGCTCATGTGTGCCAGCCCCCCTTTCTGGCCCCTGCAGTGCGAGCATGCGATGGGCGAGCATGCATGCATGCGCGCGTGCTGCTCTCCATCCTGTGCTCGAATGAATGAACGAATGCGTGTGCCATGCGCGCCCCCCCCACCCGCCAGCCGCCACTTCATCCGAGCCCTGATGGAGGACGCGCATCTCATCGTGCCCTCACCCACCTTCCTGCTGCTCAACTCCTACCACGCCGCTACCCTGTACGCCCCATGCCGCGCCCACCCCATGTCTCCATGCCCCGCGCCATTGCTCTCTTCCCGCCGGTGATCCTTCCTCTCTTCCTCTCTTCCTTGCCCCATTGCCCTTTGCCCCTTTTGCCCCCTTTGCCCCCTGCACTGCATGGCGCCTGCTCCCATGTCCCATTGCTGTCTTTCCCTCCCTTTCCCCTTTCCCCCTTTCCCCCTTTCCTCATGCAGCATGGTGCATCACTACGATGCCTACAGGCTCGCTGACATGCGCACGCACATCCCCACCCTTGCCATGCCGCGCCCGCAAGCAGCAGCAGCGGCAGCGGCAGCATCAGCAGCAGCAGCAGCAGCAGCGGCAGCATCACCTGACATTCAACGCCTTGACTTGACACACTCTCTAGCCACTGGTATTCTCGGCCCGCTCTTCTCTCCCCTCGAATCCCTTCCTCCATGCCTCACCCGCACCCCTTTTCTCCCCTCGTGTTCGTCCCACCGTCCACACACACCTGACCCCTCTATCAACCTCTGGCTCCTCCCCCCACCTCTCGCACCCGGTCCCATCCCGCATTGCCCCATTCCCCCCGCCTTCCTGCTGCAGTCCCCCTAACACCCTCCTTCCTCTCCCCCCCTCCAACCCCCCCCCCCTCTCTCCCCCCCACTCCTCCCTCCCCATGAACTTGTAGCCATTAAGCGTTAGGGTGGGCAGCAGCGAAGAGGAGAAACTTTAGCAAAAAGAGTGACAGTGGGTGAATTGATACCCCTGTTAAAAACCGAGAATTCGAAGCTCCGAACTCAACTCCACTAGAAGATTAAAACGCAAACTAGTTTCGGCTGACTGGGACAGGCCCCAAATCAGACCTTCATCAGTGCTGGTGGAATTATAAAAGTGAGTTTACAAGCGAGCTCTTAAACAAAGACTGCGCTACGAGAACAACAACTTCAAGGTTGGAACAACCGTGACTGAAATCTGGTCAGCCAATCCAAAACACCCTGGAAAGTTCCAAGGTGCCAGGTCTTCATTCCTCGGGGCGTGTCGTGGGTAACCCACATCTCGCCAGTTGGTGCTCAGGGAGCCTCGCGCGAACAAGTAACTTTTGCAAGTTACGCCCAGCCTTCCATGCGACAAAAATTCTCTCAGTGTATAATCCGTGTGTAATGAGTCGATTTTTGAGTCGACTCAAAACGACCCCTAGTTTGAGACGGGCCGACACAGGTGTGTAGGTCGTCTTCAGAACTAGGGGTCCACGTGATGAGGGGAGAGAATGTCGTCGAAGTTGCTGGTTTGCGAGAGTGTTGGCGAGTAGTGTTGCGCGTTGCGCGAAAAGGACGCCCTTGAAGATCGGTTGAAGGAAAGCAGGGGGGTAACCCCGGTCGCGAAGCCGCTGGAAGAAAGCTTGCTTCGTTGCAAGAAAGGTGCGCATGGAGGTCGAACGCAGTAAGTAACGCTGCAGTTCGGCGCATATGAAACCTTCCTTGCAGTGTCGGGGGTGGAAGGAGGAAAAGGGGAGGTAGAGGTATCTGTTCATCGGTTTCTGAAAAGTGCCGAGGTCCAGACGACCGCACTCCTTGAAACGCTGCCCCTTGTGGAGGACAACATCCAGAAAATCAACGGAGTGCTCCGAGATATTCCACGTGATCCTGATGGAAGGATCCAAGCCGTTGAAAGTTCGCAGGTACTCCTCCAGGTCAGCCCGCGAGCCTGGCCAAATGATAAGGCCATCGTCGATGTAACGGACGTGGTAACTTGGTGATATCCCGGTCCACCTCTCCTTGAGCAGCTCGTCGAGACGGCTCATAAAGAGGACCGCAAAGCAGACTGCGACTGGAGTTCCCATCGCAGTGCCTTGTACTTGATGAAAAATCCTGCCGTCGAATTCCACGAAAGAATTCCTCATGACCCATCCCAAGAAAGCCATGAGCGGTTGAGCGAGCTGTGTTGTTGCCCTCAGAAGAAAATTGCTAACTGCTTCGAGCCCTCGATCGATGGAGATGCTTGGGTAAAGCGAGGTGACGTCGTAGGTGGCCAGAAGTACAGTTGGTGGAAAGACCGTAGCTTCCAGCTTCGCTAGCAAAGAGAGGGAGTCGCGCAGGTAGGTCGGTTGTTTGAGTACTAGCGGTCGTAGTTGAGAATCCAGCCATCGGCTCACATTAGTCGTGACCCAGGAGTGTGAGGCGGCGATCGGTCGTCCCACGGGTACTTTCTTGTGAAGCTTCGGCAGGATGTAGAATGCCGCTGGTCGCCAACCCCCTGGCGGTCGATCGAAAAAGTATTTCCAAAGACTGTCAGGAAAAGCAGGTCCCCACGTCGCCTTCAGCTCCACCAGTTGCTGTAGAACAGAGGGAGTTGGGTCGTGATGAACCGGCTGGTACACTGTCGCATCCTCAAGATGCTCCATGCAGAGAGCGACGTAGTGCGCGCGGTCCATCACAGTTACCCCGACGTTTTTATCAGCAGGCTTGATGACGATGTCGCTGTCGAGCGATAAGGAGCGTAAAGCCGTTCGGACTCCTCGCGGAAGGTTAAGTCCTCGTGACGGCTTACACGCTTTCAACAGGAAAGATAGGTCGGCTCGCGCCTCCTTGAAGACATGCTCCGGGACCACGTCCCGCTCGGGTCTCCAGCTTGGATTCTTCACCCGGAAACGTGATGAGGCTGAAGACCCTTGATCCTTGAAGAAAAAATTGAGGGAGATCCGTCGATGCAGTTGATCCAGATCTGCTTCGATGGAAAAATTCCATGGCGGCGTAGGTACGAATTTGAGTCCCATCCCGAGCGCCTTGGTTTCGTCGTGAGATAAAACCTTGGAGCTCAGGTTGTGTACCCCCCGGTTCCGGACGCGTGACTGCAGCTGCTGTAAAGTCAGTCGTCCGAACCGGTGGAGTGCGAGATCTCGTGCAGTTAGTTCTTGCGCGGCCCTTTTCCTGGGCCGCCGCCGCCGTTTTTTGGAACTTGGGCCGTAGTCGAGGAAGATTGTTGGCCTTTCCCTCCGCTGCCGCTTGGAGACTTCGTTTTCTTCTTGCCTCTCCCTCGTTTCTTCGGAGCCTTCGGTACATCTGCCTTGTTCCCAGAAGAGTTGTTCTTCGGGTTCTTGGACGGGTCCGCCTTGGGCTTAGAAGACGAGGGGGCCGGTTTAGGATCCTGCGATCCCATCGACAAACTCTTCTGGAACTTCGCAGTCAGCTTCGCCTCGACGCTCGCAGTGACGTTCGCAGTAACGCTCGCCACAACTTCCTTGCGCATCGCCTCGACTTGCCGCTTAGTAGCTTTCAGCACGAGTTCATCGAGTACCGGAGCCGTTTCCATTTTCTCCATCTCTTCAGCAGTAGCAGCTTTCTTCAACTCTTCAGCTTCACGAGCCTTCTGCTTGTGTAGTTCCTGGATGATGATCTCATCCTTGGCGGTGACGATCTCAGACTTGGCCTGCTCGATGCACGACGCTTTGATCTTCCGGAAACGCTCTTTAGCCGCATCAGATACGGTGAGCTCGGGGTCGGAGCTGAGGCCTTGTATGTAGTCTTCGAGGTTGGCCGCTAGAACTGCCACGTGAGAGGCGGATGCTGACTGAATTTCCTCAACCTCCGCCTCCTTAGACTTGATGAAATCCTCCTGAATGCGCTTCTGGTTCTCGAGATGAACCGAGGCGACCGATGCAGCCGACTTTTCCCGCGTCAAAGGGTACTTGGTCTGGAACTCCGCGACCTTGGTGCGAAGGCTGTGCAGAATCACACCTTGCTCGTGGAGGGCCTTCATCTTCTTCAGTTTAGATTTCGCCTTGAGGAGTGCCTTGAAGTCCGTCCTGAAGCCCTTGACCGCCGCCGCCGTCCAGCCTTTGAAAGGCTCCGGAATGCGAGACATACGATCGGTAGTCGGGTTGACAGAAGCCTGATCCACAGGCTTGCCATCGTTCTGGACGTCCATGTCGGCCATGTCGGGAGAATCTTCAGATTGCTTGTCTTGCTTGTCTTCCTCGCGAATCGATGCAGAATTTCCAACTCCTTTGCCGGTGCGGGAACGTTTGTAACCTGCGTAGGTCTTGGAGGAGTGGTCCGCTCCACGTGGAATCAGTGCGAAACTCGTATCTTCTTCGCCGGCGTCACCCAAAGAAATTGGGAAACCCAATGAACTTGTAGCCATTAAGCGTTAGGGTGGGCAGCAGCGAAGAGGAGAAACTTTAGCAAAAAGAGTGACAGTGGGTGAATTGATACCCCTGTTAAAAACCGAGAATTCGAAGCTCCGAACTCAACTCCACTAGAAGATTAAAACGCAAACTAGTTTCGGCTGACTGGGACAGGCCCCAAATCAGACCTTCATCAGTGCTGGTGGAATTATAAAAGTGAGTTTACAAGCGAGCTCTTAAACAAAGACTGCGCTACGAGAACAACAACTTCAAGGTTGGAACAACCGTGACTGAAATCTGGTCAGCCAATCCAAAACACCCTGGAAAGTTCCAAGGTGCCAGGTCTTCATTCCTCGGGGCGTGTCGTGGGTAACCCACATCTCGCCAGTTGGTGCTCAGGGAGCCTCGCGCGAACAAGTAACTTTTGCAAGTTACGCCCAGCCTTCCATGCGACAAAAATTCTCTCAGTGTATAATCCGTGTGTAATGAGTCGATTTTTGAGTCGACTCAAAAATCGACTCATTACACACGCATTGCCCTATTCCCCCCGCCTTCCTGCTGCAGTCCCCCTAACACCCTCCTTCCTCTCCCCCCCTCCAACCCCCCCCCCCTCTCTCCCCCCCACTCCTCCCTCCCCCCCCGTCCAGGTCTGTGCCTCATAGAGTGGCCGGGGCCCCTCCTCCCTCTGCTGCCCGCCCACCGCCTGCACCTCTCCATCTCCCTCCTGCCGCCCACTCCGGATCTTCTGGCCGGCACAAGTGGATTGGATGGTCGGCAGAGGGGGCTAATAGGGGCAGAGGCAGAGGGGGGGGCAGCAGAGGGGGAGGCAGAGACAGGAGAGGTGGTGGTGGGCGGAGAGGGGAGGGAGGATGAGTGGGACGAGCAGGAAGGGGAGGATGGGGAGGAGTGGGAGGAGCAGGAAGGGTGGGATGAGGAGCAGTGGAGAGTGGTGCATTTGGATGCGAGAGGGGAGCGGTGGGCTGCTGTTGTTGATGGGGTCCTTGCTATTGCACCGTCGTCCAACCTTGTAACCCTCTTATAATGAACACCCTTCATGCATGTAGTGTGATTTGCATACGCTTCCTATATTCCTCCAAAAATACAGTACATAGAGTCCCAATGTTCACCACACAAGCGTTTCTGCAAGTCAGTGCTACTACACTTGTGCCTCACTACTAGCCTTCACCACTATTGCTGCCATTCGAGTCAAAACTCAGAAGTCTAAAGCCCGCGGTACGTGCACGTGCCCGTGGGCATTCATCTGCTGGCGGTGCCGGTCAAATGAGAACAGTGTGACCGCGGGGCTCACAGGAGCACCTCCCCCGGGCTCACCTCGCCTCACAAGCACCTGCCCCCTGCTGCTCCACGTCACACTCCTCCCCCACTCCCCCTCTCCCATGCTGCTCCTCCCCCAACCCCCCTCTCCCATGCTTCCCTCAGCTGCACTCAGACTGCAATCACTTCCACTGTAGTCACACCCGCCCCAGGGGTCAGGAGAGCCGTAGAAGCGCACTGCACGGGCGTCTACGGCCCGTTCCTTTGGCCCGCGCGTGCCTTGCGACGGGAGAGAGTTCATGCTGCCGTGCCTTGCATGCGTGCGTCCTCGCCGCGCCTCAGGGCAGGGCACATGGTGCCCCATGGAAGGTGCACGGAGTGCAATGGGCGCCAGAACAGGGGTGGGGGATCCTAGGCGCCTCTCTCGCATGGAAGCAGCTTTGGGGGTGGGTGATGCGGGCACACCCCTGTGGCGTGCCGCGCCAAGGGCACACGCTTGAGGGGCATGAGGGGCATGAGAGGCATGAGGGGCATGAGGGGCATGAGGGGCATGAGAGGCATGAGGGGCATGAGAGGCATGAGGGGCATGAGAGGCATGAGGGGCATGAGAGGCATGAGGGGCATGAGAGGCATGAGGGGCATGAGGGGCATGAGGGGCATGAGGGGCATGAGAGGCATGAGGGGCATGAGAGGCATGAGGGGCATGAGAGGCATGAGGGGCATGAGAGGCATGAGGGGCATGAGAGGCATGAGGGGCATGAGAGGGGTAACGGCGGATGCTCGAGTGTTGAGGCACAGCAAGGGCATCGGGCGCCATGGGGTCCCGGGAAACGCGCCTTCCCTCTACCCTGCTGCTCGCAGCCACCTCGTTCACGCGGCTGCTTCTTGGCGTCTCCTCCGAGCGGCAGTCCAGGCGTTCATCCGGCCAGCAGGAGGCACGCTCGCGGGTGGGCAAGCTGCTGGAGTAAGGCGACCTTCGCACCTCTCTGCCTGCCGCTCCCCCTGTGCTACCGTGACGTGCAGAGGGTGCCTCACTACCCTGCCACAGCCTGGGAGACCCCTTGCTGCCACTGCCCCCTGCATCAGCAGATGCCGCACCACTACTGCTATCACGAGCGGGCAACACGCGGAACGTCATGCACCCATGCGGCCCTGCGGTGCTCTGCCCTGCTCCCCTCGGGCTGAGCCCAAGGGATTTGATCCGCTCGCCCTGCCACCGCCGGTCGCTGTGGCTCCTCAAACTCCGCCTCCCCACACCCACAGTCAGCAACCCACCTGGCGCCACGGCCTCCCTTGCCGGTGGTGTCTCCTCGGGGCCGTGTGCTTGCGCTCCCTCTTCCTTAGTGCGTCGCACCCTCCTCAGCTTGGCTTCTGCGTTTCCTCGCCCACTGGCCGGGTTCACAGCCTTGTTGGCAGCACCAGTAGCAGCAGCAGCAGCAGCAGAGCCAGAAGCACCGGCAGCAGCAGCAGCACCCGCACGAGGTCGAGGGGGCGACCGCAGCAGCCGCTGCTGAAGACCCATCATGCCGCTCCTCAGCCTCCACTGCCTACACGTGGCAGACGCGGTCTCCTGCACGTCAGCATCATGTGCGGAGTCAGCGTCAGCGGCCACCTGCCACAGCTCGCCCTGGAGGGAGCAGAGGCGGCGCAAGGGGCGCAGCAGGCGCGCGGGGATGGACGGGGGAGAGTCTCCCGTGAGGCTGATCTCGCGGGGAAAGGCGGACGCCACTGCCATCGCCAGCCGCTGGGTGCTGGAGAAAAAAAAAGGTTCAGATGGGAGAAAAACGGCCACAGGGAAGGGTGCGTGCTCGCGGCGGTCGCCCTGCACTGCTGATCACACCCGGCACCTGTGCTACTTATCTCTCCTGCATTGCCTCGGGAGCTGGGCTGCTAGCCTAAATCCCCAACTAGCAGCACGGGTCCAGTGACGGGGTGAGCTCGCGCGAGGCTACGAGGTGTCTGGGCAGCTCAGCTGGGTGCAGCCCTGTCCCCCACAGCCCTCCCTCCATCGCTCGGGATGGGATGCGACTGCGCCAGCTGGGGAACCCGCGGAGCCCCGTCGGCCGCCCAATATCCGTTGCTGCCACACGCCTGATGCTGTCGGCGCGACCCTTCGCTGGACCCGCCCTGGATCGCGGCCGCTTGCGATCGCATGGTCCGGTGCACTGCAGAGGGCGCATTGCATTGGTCCGGGCAGCCCAGCCCGCATCAGGCCCTCCCCTCGGCTGGCTCGTGCATGCACTGCCTGCTCCGTCGAGAAGCTGACAGCGTGGCAGGAAGCCTTTGCGCGCCAGCTGTCCCTGGATAGCTCGGAGTTACCGCCAGGGATCGTACGGTTTCGGTACAGTACATGTACGTACAGCTCACTAGGGTTCCGTTACTGTCACGCCTGTGACTCCCGTGCAGCCAAGGTACTGTGTATGTGTAAACCGCCCAGTTGAGCAGCGAAGCGCCATCGATGGCAGCGCATAGTGCTGTGGCGTGGCCCCTGTGGGACGGATGGCGACAAAAGCGGCGCTGTAGAGTGGCCTGATCACTACCGAAAGTGGATGGCCAACAGCAGGCGGGTAGCGACAGTGCAAGCAGGGCTTCGCTACCGGTTGTTTTTCTTTCCCCAGCTGTTGGGGCAAATAAGGTGCTTCCACGATCTGCTATTACTTAGTTCAGAGCTGTACGCCTTATAACTCTAAAAACGATGCTATGGTATGACATATTAACGCCTTATGGTTTTACCATATACAAATGATTAGATTTGCATCCCAAGCTATACACAAATCCAAGTTACAACGCCCTCTTTATGGACCCAACGTGAGAGCAACACGTTCAAATCTCATCCATTTAGCTCGGAGAACGCATTTCCTTTGACGGTCTTGGGGTGCAATAGGCAAAATTATGCTGTCCTCACTAAGGGAGTCCAATCCACTCAACTACGTGATGGTCTCAGCTGGGAATGATCTTCAGAAGCTCAATGTCAAAAAGGAGGGTTTTATCGATAAGACCCTGGTTCTTGAGAACGAAATCCAGTGCTCGCTGGCCCTGAATCAGCAGACACAAAAAGAAAAGGTGGACAACTGAATCAGAAAAGGGGACAAAAACAACACTTACCGCAAGTTTAGTAAACTTGGTAGTGATGATCTTAGGGAGGACTCACGGAGAAGGTAGTAGGCTTGGGCCCTTGCTTGTTGAAGTTGCCATCAGGGTACCCAATCTCAGGAGGCACCACGATCCTGGTGCACGCACATTGGGAGCAGCACATGAGGCAGCGAGCACATACAGTGTTGAGCCATGCTGCTCCCATGGCATGCCCAGCACCACACATGCATGCCATCCCCTTCGTGCTTCACATCTGCTATGTGCTTACGGATTTTGGGGGGGGGCGCGGGATTTTGGGGGGGCGCGGGATTTTGTGGGGGGCGCGGGCTTTTGGGGGGGCGTGGGCTTTAGGGGGGGCGCAGGCTTAAGGGGGGGCGTGGGTTTAAGGCGGGGCGCGGGTTTTTGGGAGGGCCCTGGTTTTGGGCGGGGCGCGGGTTCTTGGAGGGGCCGCGGGTCCTTGGGCGAGGCGCGGGTTCTTGGGGGGGCGCGGGTTCTGGGGGGCGCGGGTTCTGGTGGGGCGCGGGTTTTTGGCAGGGCGCGGGTTTTGGGGGGCCGCCGGTCTTTTGGGGGGCCGCGGGTTTTTTTGGGGGGGGAGGGGGCGGGTTTTTGAGGGGGCGCGGGTTTTGGGGGGGTCGTGGGGTTTTGGGGGGGGCGCGGGTTTTTGGGGGGCATGCGGGTTTTTGGGGGGGCATGCGGGTTTTTTGGGGGGGGCGGGTTTTCGCGGGTGGGGGGCAGTTTTTTGGGGGGGCGTGGGTTTTCGGGGGGGGGCGGGTTTTGGGGGGGTGGCGGGCTTTTGGGGGGGCGCGAGTTTTTGGCGGGGCTCCGGTTTTTGGGGGGGCTCGGGTTTTTGGGGGGGCTTGGGTTTTTGGCGGGGCTCGGGTTTTTGGGGGGGCGCGGGTTTTTGGGGGGGCGCGAGTTTTGGGGGGAGGGCGGGTTTTTCGGGGGGGGGGTTTGGGGGGGCACGGGTCTTTGGGGGGGCGCAGGTTTTTGGGGGGGCGCGGGTTTTGGGGGGAGGGCGGGTTTTTCGGGGGGGCGCGGGTTCTTGGGGGGGCGCTGGTTCTTCGGGGGGGCGCGGGTTCTTGGGTGGGCGGGGGTTTTTGGGGGGGCGGGTTTTTGGGTGGGCGCGGGTTTTGGGGGGGGAGCGGGTTTTTGGCGGGGCGCAGGTTTTTGGGGGGCCGCGCGGGTTTTCGGGGGGGCGCAGGTTTTGGGGGGGCGCAGATTTTTGGGGGCCTGCGGGTTTTTGGGGGGGGGCGGGTTTTTGAGGGGGGGCGGGTTTTTGGGTGGCCGCGGGCTTTTTTTTGGGGGGTGGGAGGGGGGGGGTGGGTTTTTGGGGGGCCGCAGGTTTTTTGGGGGGGCACGGGTTTTTTTGGGGGGCGCGGGTATTGGGGGGGGGCGCGGGTTTTTGGGGGGCCGCGGGTTTTTGCGGGGGGCGTGGGTTTTTGGAGGGGTGCGGGTTTTGGGGGGGCGTGGGTTTTTGGGGGGGCGCGGGTTTTTGGGGGGGCGCAGGTTTTGGGGGGGCGCGGGGTTTTTGGGGGGGCGGATTTTTTGGGGGGGCGCGGGTTTTGGGGGGCAGCGGGTTTTTGGGAGGGCGAGGGTTTTGGGGGGTGCGAGTATTGGTGGGGCGCGGGTTGGGGGGGGTGCGGGTTGGGGGCGTCGGGAGGGTGTGGGTTTTGGGGGGGTGCGGGATTGGGGGGGGTGCGGCGGGTTTTGGGGGGTGCGGTTTTGGGGGAGTGCGGGTTTGGGGGGTTGCGGGTTTTGGGGGGGGGCATGGCATCCAGTACGTGTGTGGTACTGAATAAGCACAGGGTGATGCGCATCGTCCCTCTCACCTCCTCACTCCTCCCAGCTTCATCGAGGCAACGGCCTCCTCAAAGGCCGGGATGACCTGCCAGCAGTAGCACGGGGCGTGGTTGAGAAGCATGGGTGGGGGGGAGCTGACAGCTGCAAGAGATGGACGCTTTGAGAAGCTCGTGGGTGGCACATGCAAGAGATGGAAGCACGGACCAGGTGAGAGGAGAGGGCAGGGCGGGGTGAGCATAGTGCATGCATGCCCAAGCGGGCAGATGGCGGTGCACATGGGGACCCAATGCCCATAGAGGTAGCAGGCAACACAGATGGCGAGGGGGAGGAGTGGCAGCACGAGTGGCAGCACGAGTGGCAGCACGAGTGGCAGCACGAGTGGCAGCACGAGTGGCAGCAGCACGAGTGGCAGCACGAGTGGCAGCACGAGTGGCAGCACGAGTGGCAGCACGAGTGGCAGCACGAGTGGCAGCACGAGTGGCAGCACGAGTGGCAGCACGAGTGGCAGCACGAGTGGCAGCACGAGTGGCAGCACGAGTGGCAGCACGAGTGGCAGCACGAGTGGCAGCACGAGTGGCAGCACGAGTGGCAGCACGAGTGGCAGCACGAGTGGCAGCACGAGTGGCAGCACGAGTGGCAGCACGAGTGGCAGCACGAGTGGCAGCACGAGTGGCAGCACGAGTGGCAGCACGAGTGGCAGCCGAGTGGCAGCACGAGTGGCAGCACGAGTGGCAGCACGAGTGGCAGCACGAGTGGCAGCACGAGTGGCAGCACGAGTGGCAGCACGAGTGGCAGCTCGAGTGGCAGCACGAGTGGCAGCACGAGTGGCAGCACGAGTGGCAGCACGAGTGGCAGCTCGAGTGGCAGCACGAGTGGCAGCACGAGTGGCAGCACGCACCTCGTCTCTGCCCACGTGGAAGCGGAAGAAGTCCTTCTCATTGCCCTGCAGACCACGCACAGCACACAGGGGACAGGGGACAAGGGGACAGGGGAGGGGTGAGCAACAGAAGCCGCAGGTGAATGGCATTCGACATGCAAGCATGCCTGCACAAAACCATGGAAGCACGTCACCTCAATAACACCCTACCAAGCCTCTAACGTACCCTCCCGAACCCCCCCACCCCACCCCCCCCCCTTCCCCCTTTCAACCCACCTCAAAGGAGCCCCCCTTGGGCTTGTTGCGTGCCTCGAAGATGCGCCCGTAGTACCCGATGGTGAACCCCGCCCAGTCCACCTGCCGGGGGTGGGGGGAGTTTGAAAGAGGGGGGAAGGGAAGGAGGGAGATGCAGGGCGGTTGTCAGTTCTGCCAGGCTATGCCCTTCAAACAACTGCCCACTCCACTAGGAGGGGGCGGCACAATGGGGGGGGGTGCGGGACAGAGGAACGGGGATACTGGAGTGAGGCAGAAGGGCGGAGGCTCCCTGCCACATTAGGAGAGCTGTGACGGGTTGTGGCGGGCGGTGGCGGGCTGTGACAGCCGGTGGCGGGCGGTGGCAGGCGGTGGCGAACGGTGGTGGGCGGTGGCGGACGTGGTGGGCGGTGGCGGGTGATGGCGGCCGGTGACGGGCGGTGATGGGCAGTGGCGGGCGGATGCGGCTGGTGACGGGCGGTGGCGGGCGGTGACGGCCGGTGACGGCCGGTGGCAGGCGGTGGCGGGCGGTTGTGGGCGGTGGCGGGCGGTGACCTGGCGGTGACAGCAGGGAGCACTCCAAGTGCGGCCGGGGCCGCTCTCTGCCGCACTAAGAACGCACCCTTCCACACTAACAGAGGGGATGAGAGGAGGGGGGGGGAGCGAGGGCGTTTCAGGTGGTGACTCTGACTTTAATAACCCTTAGTGAGTCGGTCTTGCTGCACGCGCAGAAGTCGATTGGGGGGGGTGGACGTTTAAAGAGGACGAATGGAATGTGGATCTTCACCTAGAGCAGCAGGAAAGGGTAGCATGAGGCAAGTGCGATGCATGGCATGTGGTATGGCATGTGGTATGGCATGTGGTATGGCATGTGGTATGGCATGTGGCATGGCATGTGGCATGGCATGTGGTATGGCAAGTGGTATGGCATGTGGTATGGCATATGGTATGGCATGTGGTATGGCATGTGGTATGGCATGGCATGTGGCATGGCCTGTGGTATGGCATGTGGTATGGCAAGTGGTATGGCACGTGGTATGGCATGTGGTATGGCATGTGGAATGGCATGTGGTATGGCACGTGGTATGGCATGTGGTATGGCAAGTGGTTTGGCATGTGGTGGTATGGCATGTGGTATGGCATGTGGTATGGCATGGATCGTACGTGGCAGGGAGTAATAACGCCAATGATGGCAATGGCAATGGCAATGGCAATGGCAGAATATTGATTGTTTGTTTTGTTCATCCAAATAACCTAGTGGGCCAAAAACAAACCCTGGATGGGAGAGGTCTTGGGTTTGAATCCGCCCACTGCCCACCGCAATCCGCGGAATGGCAAATACAGACATATCACGACACAAGTGCACTCACCACAGCAAGTTCGCCTGGTTGGGGGGTTGGCCCTGAGCCCTCTCTCAAGTCCTGGTGGCAGGAATAGATTCAGCCACGCAGCCATCATACACACCACCGCCACCCCTCCACACGCATGCACGCACACACGCACGCACAAGTGATTAGGGTGCATTCACAGATGCATCACACAAACATGGTGGATGCGTGCAGTGCAGGGGATCAAGGTGGACGCGTGCAGGGGATCAAGGTGGACGCGTGCAGGGGATCAAGGTGGACGCGTGCAGGGGATCAAGGTGGACGCGTGCAGGGGATCAAGGTGGACGCGTGCAGGGGATCAAGGTGGACGCGTGCAGGGGATCAAGGTGGACGCGTGCAGGGGATCAAGGTGGACGCGTGCAGGGGATCAAGGTGGACGCGTGCAGGGGATCAAGGTGGACGCGTGCAGGGGATCAAGGTGGACGCGTGCAGGGGATCAAGGTGGACGCGTGCAGTGCAGGGGATCAAGGTGGACGCGTGCAGGGGATCAAGGTGGACGCGTGCAGGGGATCAAGGTGGACGCGTGCAGGGGATCAAGGTGGGGGGGGATCAAGGTGGACGCGTGCAGGGGATCATGGTGGATGCGTGATAGTGGACTCACAAGCCGCATTTTCCCAGAGCTTGCAGGAGATCCATAACTCAATCGTTCGTAGCGAAGGTGGAACCTTGATTTGCCAGCCACTCAGAAACCACTCAGGGTGGTGGAAACCCACTCGGAAACCACTCAGGGTGGTGGAAAACCACTCGGAAACCACCCGGGGTGGTGGAAAACTACTTGGAAACCACTCAGGGTGGTGGAAAACCACTCGGAAACCACACCAGGTGGTGGAAAACCACTCGAAAAACACTCCGGGTGCCTTGGGCACCATGACAAGGGCAGCATGGCTCGGCTGCCATGGCTCAGGCGGCATGCCTCGGGCGGCATGGCGCGGGCGGCATGCCCCGGGTGGCATGGCTCGGGCGGGCGGCATGGCTCGGCTGCCATGGCTCGGGCGGCATGCCTCAGGCGGCATGGCTCGGGCGGCATGCCTCGGGCGGCATAGCTCGGGCGGCATGGCTTGGGCGGCATGTCTCGGGCGGCATGCCTCGGCATGGCTCAGGGGCATGCCTCGGGCGGCATGGCTTGGGTGGCATGGCTCGGGCGGCATGCCTCGGACGGCATGCCTCGGGCAGCAAGGCACGGGCGGCATGGCTCGGGCGGCATGCCTCAGGTGGCATGCCTCGGGGGGCATGCGACGGGCAGCATGGCTCAGGTGGCATGCCTGGGGCGGCATGGCTCGGGCAGCATGCCCCGGGCGGCATGGCTCGGGCGGCATGGCTCGGGCGGCATGGCTCGGGTGGCATGGCTCGGGCGGCATGCCTCAAGCGGCATGTTTCGGGCGGCATGCCCGGGGCATCATGGCTCGGGCGGCATGCCAGGGTAGGCATGACTGGGGCGGCATAGCTCGGGCAGCATGGCTCGGGCAGTATGGCTTGGGCTACATGGCTAGGGCAGCATGGCTCGGGCGGCATGGCTCGGGCGGCATGCCTCGGGCGGCATGGCTTGGGCGGCACGCCTCCGGCCGCAGGCCTCGGGCGACATGGCTCGGGCGGCATGGCTGGGGCAGCATGCCCCGGGCGGCATGGCTCGGGCGGCATGCCTCGGGGCGGCATGGCTCCGGCGGCATGGCTCGGGGAGCATGGCTCCGGCGGCATGGCTCCGGCGGCATGCCTTGGGGCGGCATGCCTCGGCCAGCGCGGCAATAAAAATTTGCATCGCATCGCATTTAATCGCGTTTTTGCGATTTTTGGAAATCGTGCGATGCGATTTAATGTTTATCGCCCGATTTTCTAAAATTGCATTTTGTATCGCGATACAAAAGGTGATATAAACGCGATATGCGATAAGAAAAAGAAAAAGAAAGAAAGAAAGAAAAACACGCACGCGATGTAGAAATTTATCGCGCTGCGAAATCTCTCCAGCAAGGGGGGGGAGGAAACGCCGAGCCCAAAAACGCACCAAAGGGATTCTCTTTTGGAGAAGAGCCAAGGGATTCTCATTGGCAATTCGTTTAGGGCCCAGCACACACACCATCCATGCTCCCATCCCCACCTTTCTCCACGGTTTAGGGTGGACGTACACCCATTTCGAAGTAGACTTCGCTGCGCCGCAGTAGGGTTTATGCGCGCAAGGCGATTGGTATTTTTTTTGGGAATTTTTGGGAAAGATTTTATTCTGGCCAGGAAAGCAATTCGATTTAAAATCGCATCCCGCTATTTAAATAATCATCGCGCGCGATTTAATTTAAATCGCCCTCTACGTGATTTGCGATTTCAAATTTCAACAAAGTTAAATCGCACAATGCGATTTTAAATCGCATCGCTTTTTGGTAAATCGCCTCCCATCGCGATGCGATTTAAATCGCAATCGCGTTTTGCCCATGTCTACTCGGGCGGCATGCCTCGGGCAGCATGGCTCGGGCGGCATGCCTCGGGCGGCATGGCTCAGGCGGCATGCGTCGGGCAGCATGGCTCAGGCAGCATGGCTCGAGTGGCATGCCCCGGGCAGCATGGCTCGGGCGGCATACCCGGAGCAACATGGCTCGGGGGGCATGGCTCGTGCGGCATGTCCCAAGCGGCATGGCTCAGGCAGCAGGGCTTGGGCGGCATGGCTAGGGCAGCAAGGTTCGGGTGGCATGGCTCGGGCAGCATGTCTCGGGCGGCATGCTTCGGGCGGCATGGCTCGGGCCGCAAGGATCGGGCGGCATGGCTCGGGCGCCTTGGTTCGGGAACCATGCATGCCTCGCGCACCATGGCTCGGGCGGCATGGCTCGGGGCAGCATGGCTCGGGCGCCATGCCTGGGGCGGCATGCCTCGGGCGGCATGCCTCGGGCGGCATGCCTCGGGCGGCATGCCTCGGGCGGCATGTCTCGGGCGGCATGGCTTGGGCAGCATGGCTCGGGCGGCATGCCCCGGGCAGCATCGCTCGGGCAGCATGCCTGGGGCGGCATGGCTAAGGGGGCATGGGTCGCGGCATGGCTCGGGCAGCATGGCTCGGGCGGCATGGCTTGGGCGGCATGGCTTGGACGGCATGCCTTGGGCGGCATAGCTAGGGCAGCATGGCTCGGGCGGCATGACTCGGGCGGCATGGCTCGGGTGGCATGGCTTGGGCGGCATTGTTAGGGCAACATTGCTCGGGCGGCATGGCTCGGAAGGCATGCCTCTGGCGGCATGGCTCGGGTGGCATGGCTCGGGCGGCATGGCTCGGACGGCATGCCTCAGGCGGTATGGCTCGAGAGGCATGCCTTGGGCGGCATGCCTAGGGCAGCATGCCTCGGCGGCATGGCTCAGGCGGCATGCCCCATGCGGCATGGCTCGGGCCGCATGCCTCGGGCCGCATGGCTCGGGCGGCACACCTCGGGCGGCATGGCTCAGGTGGCATGTCTCGGGCGGCACGGCTCGGGTGGCATGCCCCGGGCGGCATGGCTCGGGCCGGATGGCTTGGGCAGCATGGCTCAGACGGCATGCCTCGGGCGGAATGCCTCGGCCGGTGCGGCATAGCTCGGGCGTAGACATGGGCAAAAAAAATCGCATCGCATCGCATTGAATCGCGTTCTTGCGATTTTTGGAAATCGCACGATGCGATTTAAAGTTAATCGCCCGATTTCTAAAATTGCATTTTATATCACGGTACAAAACGCGATAGAAACGATGTGCGATTAACAAAACAAACCAAAAGAAAAGAAAAGAAAAGAAAAACGCACGCGATGTCGAAATTCATCGCGCTGCGAAATCTCGCCAGCAAGGGGGGGGGGAACGCCAAGCCCAAGAAAGCACCAAAGGGGTTCTCTTTTGGAGAAGAGCCAAGGGATTCTCGTTGGCAATTCGTTTAGGGCCTAACACACACACCATCCATGCTCCCAACCCCACCATTCTCCACGGTGTAGGGTGGACGTACACCCATTTCGAAGTAGACTTTGCCGTGCCGCAATAGGGATTATGTGAGAGAATTGAAGAAGTTGTTTCAGTAATAGAATCAGGAGCATACATAGGAAAGTTGGGAAGGAAGGGAAGCTAGCAAGAGAAGATGAACAGTGCCACATGCAGTTGGGTAGGAACAGTACCCAACCACCATGAGAGCCACTTGCGTGGTCTCAATATTGTGGTCTTGGTGCTCGGGGGCTCCAACCACTCCAGGGTTGGATTAATAACCCTTGCACTTTGATGTGTACACCACAGGTTGGTGTACACCTCGCTAATATACTAGTCGAGCATGTCACAATAGATATATATAAGTTAACATTATGCGCACAAGGCGTTTTGCCCTTTTTTTGGGACTTTTTGGGAAAGATTTTATTCTGGGCAGGAAAGCGATGCGATTTAAAATCGCAACGCGCTATTTAAATAATCATCGCGCACGATTTTAATTTAAATCGCCCTCTTAACACGATTTGCGATTTAAAATTTCCAGAAAATTAAACCGCACAATGCGGTTTTAAATCGCATCGCTTTTTGGTAAATCGCCTCCCATCGCGATGCGATTTAAATCGCAATCGCGTTCTGCCCATGTCTACTCGGGCGGCATGCCCCGGGCAGCATGGCTCGGCCGGCATGCCTCGAATGGCATGGCTTGGGTGGCATGGCTTGAGCAGCATGGCTCGGGCGCCATGGCTCGGGCGGTATGGCTCGGGCGGCATGCCTCGGGCGGCATGCCTAGGGCAGCATGCCTCGGCGGCATGGCTCGGGCGGCATGGCTCGGGCGGCATGGCTCAGGCGGCATGCCCTGTGCGGCATGTCTGGGGCCGCATGCCTCGGGCCGCGTGGCTCGGCCGGCATGCCTCGGACTGCAGCCCAAGACACGCACCTTGCACTTCAGGCCAAGACACGCACCTTGTACTGCAGGCCATGACACGCACCTTGTACTGCAGGCCACAACACGCACCTTGTACTGCAGGCCGGACTCTGTCTCGGTGTAGTCGGGGTACTTCATGCGGCTCTTGCCGTAGTCCTTGCCGCGCAATGCAGGCACTGAGAGCAAGCACAGCAGCCGGGTCAAATGGGAGGCGGGTTGGCCAAGGGGGAAAGGGAACGGTGAATGACGCCACCAACCACAACGCCTCCCTCCCAATGCGCCCCAGCTTGCGCTGTGCGACCTCTGAAAATGTGGAGAAGATTGCTGCGCAACTCAAGTGGCACTGTAACTCACTGTCGGCGAAGTTCGACTCATTTGCCTGGGCCACGTCAGCGGCCAGCACGGAGGCTGCGATTGAGGCGACGAGAGCGGAGGCAGCGGCGGCAGCACCGCCGAGAGCCACGCTCCTGCGACTCACGGGAGAGGATAGCTCCCGCTCGCCCTGCACCTCCTGCTGCTGCTGCTGCTGGTCTTCCAGCAATGCTCGCGGCGGCTGTGACTTGGACGAGCGGAAGGAGGCGGATGCTGCCACGTGGAGCCGCTTCGTGCGAGCCGCCACTGAGGAGACATTTCTCGACGACGTGTCGAGCTGTTACAGGATAGACGAGAGTAAGAGAACAAACACGACGGGAAATGTCTTTCCTTCAGCATTTTGGTAGAATCTCCGAGCCAGCTGATGGACGAGGGAAGCAATTCGGACTGAAATAAAGAGAGCGTCACCTCTCGGCTAGTCCGTGCCAGGAGAAGCGACGGGGCCGCCTGAGCGGTCGCCATCAGGAGAGCCATTACGACCTTAAATTCGAGACGCAGACGAGCTGCACGGCCCGGACTAGGCTCAAGCTAATGCCGCTGTCACGGCCTCACAACCACTCAACGGCGCGGCCAGCGGTGGTTTATGGTGCGATGGTTGTGTGAGCTTGCCAGCGGATTGAGTGGCAGCGAGATATGTTTCTGCTGCTCTCCTCGAGGGGGAGTGAGGTGGAGTGGCAGGAAACATCTCGGGATTGTAGGTGAAACAGTTCAGGGCGTGTTCGTGTACAGTTCCAGGTCTGCGTATGGATGACAAGTTTCGGACAAGAGCTACGAACTTGAGAAGGCAAGGGGAATGATGCAGCATTGGGTGATCCAAGTTTCGGAAATGTTCGACCGTCTGTTACTAAAATAGGCCCCAGCTCACAGGTTTCCAGGCCTTGACGCACTTTTCGCTCTACAACGGGAATATCCGTTATGGACATGCATAAATGTTTTGCCTACCTAAGCGAACTTCAATTTTCTTCCACTAGTTCCTAAGACAGGTTCTCCACCCCATTCTGCCACCACAATTCTGCTGAACGCGTGGTATTCCCAAGGTAGTGTTAGCATTGTAGTCCCTCCTGGTTTCCGCCCAACTGATTAGGTCTTAGCTCTCAGGCTTCTCCGGCTGAAACGCCATTACCCCCCGCAAGCGCCTTCCAGTCTTTAATCGTGATCACCAGCCCTTAATCACAATTATAGGCGATGGAGGACGAAGCGGACTCTCCGCTCTTACGATTTTTGATCGAGCTTCTGAAGCCGATGTAAGCTCGACACTAAACCTCGATCCTTACCGTCTCTTTCCTTCTTTACTTTCGATGCCTTTCCGCCTCGAGAATGCCGCATTCAGATCTGTAATTTCATGTCTTTCGTGCCATCGGAACCCTGATTTGACAACCTGTCGGTCGTGGCAATTATTGGCTTTTATAACGCGTACAGATCGGAGGCGGATCCGGCGCTGCTGGCGAACTACGTGGTGGCGCTGCTGAAGAACAGCAAGCCGCACGACGAGCTGCGCCAGCTCTGCCTCGACCAGCTGCAGGACTTCCTCACCGACGGTACGTTACAAGCTTCTAGCCACGATTCCTTGTTTTGAGGCGCCTTATAACGAGGTTCGTCAGCTGTGCCTCGACCAGCTGCAGGACTTCCTCACCGACGGTGCGTTATCAGCTTCGATCCACGCGCCTCTCGCGCCGTTTGCGCGCATTGCGTCTCGCGTTACCTTTTCTGTTTGAACCTTTTGACTGTTTCGGGATGCGGGTCGTTTGGCATGAAATAGCAGCGACTGTTTCGGCGTCGGGGAATTATTCTGGCGATTGCATATCTGGAAATTATTCAAGTAGACCCCGCTTTTCTGCGATTGTTGATCTGGACTCTCACTGCTCTTGGTTCCCTCACTCTCTCGTTGCTAATCTCGCAGAAACCGAGGGTTTTGTTACGAAGCTGTTCGATGCCCTTGAGCGGGGGGAGATCTCGCTAGAAGATGCGGAGGCGGAGGGGGATGAGCCGGGGGGCGCAGACGACACGGACAAGAAGAAGAGCCGCGGCGAGGACGCGGAACCCGCGGAAGCCAATGAGGGCGGGAGAGACGGGGGAAGAGGCGGAGGAAAGAGCGGAGGTAGGCGGGGAGATGGGGGACAGCGGGGAGCTGACGAGGAGGGGGGCAGGGGGAGAGGGGCCAAGAGAAGTGGGGCGTCGCGAGAGAGAGGGGGGAGAGAGAGGGCGGATGAGGATAAGGAGCGGGACGACGATGGCAGTAAAGGCGGGGAGAGAGGCGAGCGGGAGCCGCACCCAGCGGCGGAAGCGGAGGCGGAGGAGAGAGCAGAGGCGGGGGGGAGGAGCGGGAGGAGGAGGAGGAAGGGCGGCGGAAACGGCACGAGGAGGATGAGTCGAGCGACGACGACGACGACCGCAACCACAAGCACCGCCGCAGGGGCGGGGGGGAGCGCTCGTTCCGCGACGACGGCACGGCGGGGGAAGGAGGGCGCGGCAGGGATCCCGCGGAAGGGCGCGGTAGCGTGCACTCGCGGTTAGAAGGCGTGAGGGATAGGAGAGGGGGTGATTTTAGCGGGGGTGGCGCAGGCAGGTCGTTCCGCAGCCGCGACGGCCCCCGTTCGTTTAGGCAGGTGGATGGGGGCGGCATGGGCGGAAGGGGAGGGCCTATGGGGCGGGATTTCCCGCGCGTGGGGGCCCCTGGTCCGGGGCAGCCGATTCTAGGCCCGCAGATGGGCATGCCGCGGTTCCCCATGGGGGGAATGCCAGGGGGGATGGGAGGGCGCGCGGGCATCCTCAGGGGCATGCCTGATCGCTTTGATGGGGGGCCGGGGAGGGGCATGGGGGAGCAGTGGGGCATGGGGGGCGCAGCAGGCGGAATGCCCGGTGTGTTACCCTCCCGGGTTGGCCCTGGTATCCCTCCCCCGGGTCTCCCTGGCGCGCCTATGCCTGGTGCGGGGATAGCAGGGGCAGGCCCGGGCATGCGGAACGGCATGGGCGGGGGCATGGGGAGGGGGTTCTTCCCCGGAAGGGGCGGGGGAGGGGGCCCGGGGCTGATCAGAACAGGGTTTGGCGCAGGGGGGCCGGTTTTCGGAATGTTCCCAGGGGGAGGCGTGGGCGGGGGAGGGATGCAAGGGATGGGCGGGGGAAGGATGGGCGCAGGCGGAGGGGGAGGGGGAGGGGCTGGAGCAGGCGGGGAGGGGGGAGCGGGAATGGGGAGCGGGCAGGGAGCAGGCCCGGGAGGGCCTCAGGGCAAGCGGGCGCGGTGCCCTGACTTTGAGGAGAAGGGGTTCTGCCTGAAGGGCGACCTGTGCCCGCTGGACCACGGCAACTACCGCATCGTGGTGGAAGACATGCAGGTGCGCGCAGGGGGCTCTAGGGCTAGGGTGAGCGCATGCAGGGGGGGCATGCAGGTGCGCAGTGGGGGGGCAGGCTTTGCTGGTAGGCACGGGGGCATGCAGGTGCGCAAAGGGGGCATGCAGGTGCGCAAAGGGGGCATGCAGGTGCGCAGGGGGGGCATGCAAGTGCGCGGGGGGGGCATGCAAGTGCACAGGGGGGGCATGCAAGTGCGCAGGGGGGGCATGCAAGTGCGCAGGGGGGGCATGCAAGTGCGCAGGGGGGGCATGCAAGTGCGCAGGGAGGGCATGCAAGTGCGCAGGGGGGCATGCAAGTGCGCAGGGGGGGCATGCAAGTGCGCAGGGCGCGCAAGGGGGGCATGCTTTGGTGGTGAGCAGAGGGGCATGCAGGTGCGCATAGTGCACATCCCTCCCTGGTTCTTGAATCCTCAAATCTCCTCCTTTTCCTCCTCTCCTGCTTCTTTTCTCTTCAAACTGCCCCTCCTCCCCCCCTGCCCCCCAACCCCACCCCCACCCCCACGCCCACCCCCACCCCCACCCCAGTCCCTGCAGCAGTTGAACCTTCCACTCCCTCCACAATCCCTCGGAATGCCGCCAAACTCGGCCGCCCAGCCGCCGCCCGGCCAGCTGGCCGGCACCCGCCGGCCGAGGGCGGAAGGCGGCAGGGGAGGCAGAGGGAGAGGAGGGGGAGAGGGGGGTAGAGGGGGAGGCGAAGGAGGGGAAGGGGGGAAGGGGCAGGGGGTGGTGGGGGTATCGGCAGCAGTGGACGGAGGGGGAGGGGTGCCGCCTGACGATGGGGATAGCTATGACCCGGACGAGGCGCTGTGGGTGCACGACAGCAAGCGCGCCAAGGGGTTGAGCGAGGTGCGAGAGTATGGAGGCTTGGGGGGGGAGGGGAATGGGCGGAAGGGCGCACCTGGGGAGGTCAGTGTGTGGGATAGGATTGGGCCCGTTGCTGCTGCTGGTGGCGGTGGTGCTGCTGGTGGTAGGGGGGGTGGAGGGGGGGTGGTGGGGATAGGGGTATGGCGGCAGCAGGAGGTGGGGATGTGGGGATGGAGTACACTCCTGACGGGGGCTTCAACATGGGGTATAATCCGCAGTTCCCGGGGAATTTCGGGGGCGGAATGGGGCAGGAATTCGGAGGGGATGGGGCAGGGGAGTTTCCAGCTATGGGCATGGGGCAAGGCATGGCACCAGGCATGGGGCAAGGCTGGCAGGGGCGGGCGGGCAGAGGGGACTTCGGGGGGAGAGGGGACTTGGGGGGGAGAGGACGAGGGGAAGGGGGCATGGGCGGGGGCAGAGGCCGTGGAGGGGCAGGAGGCAGCGAGCGCAACCGAGACCAGAAAGCCCAGATGACAGTCTTTGTGAACGGGATTCCATCGGAGCTCACCTCGGGCAAGGGCCTGCAGGCGTCGCTCATCAAGCACTTCTCCAAGTTCGGCCCCGTGGTGGATATCAAGGTGCACGGGGATAAGGGCCGGGCGTTCGTGCAGCTGGCAGCTAGGGAGCACGCGGCAGCGGCCATAGCGGCGCCGGATGCTGTGCTGGGGAACAGGTTCATCAAGGTGTTCTGGGCTAACTTCGATCTGCAGCCGGATCCTGCCTCTGCTGCTGCTGCTGCAGCAGCGGCGGCGGCAGCAGCTGCTGCGGCTGGTTCGGCGGGTGAAGGGGGCCCGGGAGCAGGTTCGGCAGGAGCAGGGGCAGGGGCGGAGGGTGGGAAGGGCAACGGGAAGGGTGATGCTGCTGCTGGGAATACAGGTGGGGGCAAGGGTGGGGCAAGTGCAGGGACTCCAGCAGCAGCAGCAGCAGCAGCAGCGGCGGTTGATCCGGCAGAGGCAGCAGCGAAGGCAAAGGCGAAGTTAGAGGAGTTGAGAGCGATTCAGAAGAAGAAAGAGGCGCTGCTGCGGGAGCAGATAGAGAAGCGGAGGCAGTACCTGGAGCGACTCAAAGAGGCCAGCCAGCACAAACAGCCACCCGCTGCTGCTGCTGCCGCCGCTGCTGCTGCTGTGTCAGACGCATCAGCAGCAGGTGCAGGTGCAGCAGGTGGGAGCACGGTGCAGGCAGCAACAGGCAGTGCTGCTGCTCCTGCTGCAGGTGCCAACCCGGCTGAAGCCGGAGCAGCAGGGGCAGGAGGCGGGGCGACAGGGGCTGCAGGAGCAGCAGCAGCAGGGAGCACAGCAGTGGGCACGCCTACAGCAAAGGACGCCTCAGGATTCCACCCGTCTCCCGGCGCTCCAGCACCTTATATGGGCGGCAGAGGGAGAGGGAGGGGCGGTTACGGTGGTTATGGTGGTGGTTACCACTATGGGTGGAGTGGAGGGGGGGCGGGAGGGGGTGGGGGGGGAGCGTGGGCCAATAAGTTCAAGCTGGACAACCGCACGACTGTGGTGCGCGTGACACCGCCCATTCCCGATGCCATCACTGAGGTATGGAAGGCTGGGGCACGTTACTGTCCGAACTAAACAAGTTCTGGCCTGTAAGGGAAAAGAATAAAAGCCTAGATTTGGCTGATCCAGGAATGTGCATCAAAGTGTGTTTCCTTGCAATTTAAGAGCTTTCTGCAATCCCGCATTTTCACTCCTCCGTTTTCACTCCCCATTTGTGTTGCCTTCAGTTCTCTCCCACAAATCCCTCGCACGGCACAGGCCAGCCAGCTGTGGGAGCACTTAGAGCATGATTGGCGAGGTGGTGAGTGTGGCTCTTGGCGTCTCTTTGCCCCACTCAATCCTCAATGCACCCTCTCCCACACCCCAACTCCCCCTCCATTGCCCCCTCGCCACCACGCATGCAGGCCAGCCAGCTGTGGGAGCACTTGAGCACGCGTGGCGAGGTGGTGAGCGCCGCTCCCGCCCACCCTCACCCCACTCAATCCTCATCCCACCCTTTCTCTCACCCAATGCCCCTTATGCCCCAACGCCCCCCAGTGGGAGCACTTGAGCACGTGTGGCGAGGTGGTGAGCGTGGCACTCTGCATCCCTCTGCCCCATTCAATTATCATCCCACCCCCTCCCCTTCGCTCCCCTTGCAGGCCAGCCAGCTGTGGGAGCACTTCAGCACGTGTGGCGAGGTGGTGAGTGTCGAGGTGGAGGGCGGCGGGACAGCTGTCACGCCCACCAGCGCGGTGCGCGTGCGCTTTGCGTCACGGCCCGTGGCGGACTACGCTTTCATGAACGGGCGCGTGCTCGAGTCGGGCGACACGCTCAACCTCTCGTGGGGCCCACCCGCCACCACTCCCCATGCTGCTGCTGCCGGTGCTGCTGGTGCCTCTGGTTCGCCTGCTGCTGGTGCTGCTGCTGGTGCTGCTGCTGGTGCAAAGCCAGCAGGTGTTTCGCTACTCAAGGTGGCAGCCGGGGGAGTGCAGAAGACAGCAGCAGGGGTTGCAGCACCAGCAGCCGCAGCAGCACCACAAGCAGGTGGAACAGCACCTGCAGCTGGCGGCCTTGCTGCTTCTGAGGGTGCTCCAGCTGCTGCTGCTGCTGCTCCTGATGCTGCTGCCAATGGCACCAGTGCTGCTGCCACTGCTGCGGCTCCTGCCAGTGCAGGCAGGGCAGGTGAAGGTGCAACAGGGGGTGCAGGAGTGTAAGGGGGATGCAAGAGCAGCATTTGTAGGGAATTACCGGAATGTGAGTGAGGAAGGCCATGTGGGGGCCAGGGTGAGTGAGGAAGGCCATGTGGGGGCCAGGGGGGCTGGAGCTCACTCACCCAGCGGAGCATCTGAATTCCATCTCAATCCCCTCCCCCCCGTTTTCCCATCCCTCCCTCGTTTCCCCACCCTCGTTTCCCTGCATCCGAGGAACCTCTGCCCTCCTTGTTCCGTTTGCCTGATTCATTTTGTCGCGTACAACGTAAGGCTAAGACTTTTGACTGGCGTTGGGGAATGTAACGGCATTAGGATCAATTGCTTTTGCAACACATGAATTCTATGCATTGTACCTGTTTTTACTTCAATATCTAACTTCATTGAATTTAACCTCGAAGGCTGTCTCTATCGAAACTTCTTCATTGTGACGCATTTGCTTCGGTTGCTTCACCTTCTCACGCCTCACAATCCTCGCCAGTCTTCACGGCCAAACCACGATGCGACCCAGCTCTCTAATTCGCACGCTTAGGGCCGGCGCTAGGCTCGGCAGGTCCAGCGACCCACCCGGACCGACGCAATCGCTACCCGGTAACCGTCAGATCGGACGGCCAGAATGCGACGGCCGTCGCTCCAGACCCGCCGAGAGCGCAGATATTCCCCGCCAGTGGCGTGGGGAGGCGGGCTTTCCGCGCATCTGCGAGCGCTTCCTCTCCTCCGCTTCCCCAGGCGCAGGTCCGGAAGCCGCCGCCCCCCCTGGCCCGGAAGCAGCTGCCGCGCTCCCCCGATTTGATTCGCCTCAAATCCATCCTCCCTACCATGGCCAATCAGAGCGCCCGCCACGCGCACTGGCAGAGTCTCCAGCCTCTGCCGCACTTGCCGGCATTGACTGGCGTGGCTCTCTAGAGCGGGTGGGCGTGAGAGGCGCCATAGACAGGGCGGAAGTGGGGGGACGTGAGGGGCAGCTAGATGCGGGTGAGAGAGCCACGGACGCCGCAGCATGTCTGGCTGCTGTGCATGCCGTGCCACGTGTACCTGCTACAGATGCAATGCCGTTGGTCGCAGTGGAAGAGAGCAGCATTCACACTGTTCTGGGCACGGCCAGGTACGTGACTGCCACGTGTCGCTTCACCATTGGTGGATCGACAGTATCAGCATCAGCCAAAGCAGCATCAATATCAAGAGAAGCAGCAACAGCAGCGGCGTGCACTTTGAAAGACCTTGCTGCACGGCTGGGCGGCACACCATCCGTGGTTGCTGCGTTTGTTTCCGGGGGAGGTACATCTGAGGCAGGTAAAGACAAAGCAGGCGTTGTTCTGTCCGCCCTAGGCCGGGAGATGGAGAGGGTGTTTGGAAAGGGGGGGGAGAGGGGGAGCGCGGCGGAGCAATGCAGGGTGGAGGGCGGGCAGAGGGGGCTCACGGTGGGAGATGGGGAGGAGGAGAGGGTGCCAGAGGAGGCAACCCCTGGGGAAGGGGTGCCGTTCTTTGCATGCGCGGGTGGTGGCGGCATGGAGTGGGGGAAATGGGGCGCGGAGGCGCACCTGCTGGAGGCACACAGGGGCGCTGGGAGCGATGAGGACGCGGATGGTGGAGGTGAGAGTGAGGGGGAGGATGAGGGGGAGGATGAGGGGGAGGATGAGGGGGAGGGTTTGGAGTGGGAGGAGGTGGTGATGGCGGCAGCGGCAGAGGAGGTGCTAGAAGGAGTGATGCTGCTGGAGCTGATAGAGGACATGGAGCACATCGACAGGGAGATGCACGCCTTGGGGCTGCGAGACATCGGGGCCTTGGGGTTGCAAGACATCGGGGCCTTGGGGTTACATGGGTGGAGGGAGGAGAAGGAAGAGGAGGTGAGGGAAGAGGAGGAGGGAAAAAAGGAGGTGAGGGAAGAGAACTGCACACTAGCACCTTCCGCTGCGTCTGTCTCTCCTCTCCTCGGACAAGCCCTGCCAGAGTCCTCTAATTGGTTCGCTGAGTCCATTCGAGCAATCACAGAAGGACACGTGGCGCAAGCAGAAGGCACGGTTTCCCAACACCTGGAGGCAGCTTCCAGGAGGTTTCAGGGCCTTGCAGAGGGCCTGCAGACGCGTTTAGAGGCGCCCCAGTACAAGCTGCAAGGGGTGGCAGAGTCCATACAGGCAAGAATATTGCCCTCTGCCCGCGCGCTACAAGGAAGGGAGGTGCTGCAAAGAGGAGCTGTTTCACCCAGAGGAGATGGTGTGACAGGGAGGCCGGAGGGGAGGGGAGAAGGGATGAGTGAGGAATTGGTAGTGGTGGTGTGCGGTGCTGCTCTGCCCGGTGTTGATGTGCGGGCCTTTGAGCTGCAAGGGGATGGGTTTCCAGATCTGGGCGGCAGCATGCAGCACATGGTGACAAGCAATGCCGCCCACTTTGTGGTTGCAGGGCAGCAAGGCCCTCCCCTTGCAAACCTCCTTTCACGCCTTCACATCATCTTCCCACACTCCTCCAGGTAGCCTCCTCACTCCACCTGCCGTCTCTCTCCTCTTTCTCTCTCCTCTTTCTCTCTCCTCTTTCTCTCTCCTCTTTCTCTCTCCTCTTTCTCTCTCCTCTTTCTCCCTCCTCTTTCTCCCTCCTCTTTCTCTCTCCTCTTTATCTCTCCTCTTTCTCTCTCCTCTTTCTCCCTCCTCTTTCTCGCTCCTCGCCTCCACCCCTGAACCACATGCAATGGAGTCGCACGTGCATCGCACGCAATACTGCATAACAAGCACCGCATGCACTCGCACGCATAACTCCTATCACTCCCTGCCTTCTCCCCCGTGCCTCTGTCTCCACCCCTCCACCCCTCCATCCACAGGGCATCCCTCCTCTCTCAGCGCCATGTCAGTCGCACACAGCAGCTTGCCACACAGCAGCTCGCCACACATCCCTCTCCACCCGTTTCAATTGCCGGCCTCTGCTTTTCCCTCAACCCCTCTGGTAACCATCCCTTTGGTAACCATCCCTTTGGTAACCATCCGTTTGGTAACCATCAATTCACCCTACGTGCAACCCCCTTTGGTGTCCATCCCCCCACCCTCCTTGTAACCAGCTTTGATCTCTTAAACACCATGTAATGCTTTGATCTCTTAAACACCATGTAATGCTTTGATCTCTTAAACACCATGTAATGCTTTGATCTCTTAAACACCATGTAATGAGCCCCCGTGAGTTTCGTCCCCCGGCTTCCTTCATCCTCCCTTTCTCTCCTTCCTCCCCTCCCCCTCCTCCCCGCCCCCACCAGCCGAGCAGCAGAGCAGGGAGGCCCTGCATGCATGCTTCTCACACCTCATCCACCACCTTGCCTGCCCACTCGCCTCGACCCCCCTGTCCGCCTTGCCATGCGGCCCCACCGCTACATCTGCTGCTCCCACCCTTGAAGGGCCTCGAAGCACAACTGCGTCTGCTGCTGCTCCATGCCTTTTTGTAAAGTAAGCTAATCCAGTATGCACGTAATCTTATGGCTTTCTTTGCTTCTTATCTGCCAGGTAGATCGTGTTCCTTGCTTTCATTTCACGTGCCTACCTCTCCCCTCCTGTCCCTTCGCGCATCCATGTTCTCGCCTCGCCTATTTCTCTACCAGCAAGCCCCTTGCAACCTCTTTGCAAGCCTTGGTGAAGCCATACCATGTCGCAGAGCCTATCCAAGGGCCAATTGTAGCCGAGGCAAGTGCGCTTCAATGACCAAGCTGTAGCTAGAGATGGTAGGATATACATAATCAAATCAAATACTGATTTTTCTGAAACCTTGAATTGCATTTGCATAACAACATTTGCAATTGAAGCAACATTTGCAGTCGCTTGCCATTTTGCCTTGAAGGGTATGTATTATACGGTCTGCAGTGACATAGTGTGTTCATTTCCTTCTGCGCCTCTACGTCGCGGACGCAAAGAGTGGTGGGGCAATAAGACACGTGGGCGAATCAGCACATCCTGGCCAGGGGCGCACAATCCGAATGTTGGGTCGCACGGGCTCCTGCGACTGTGATGCGACACTCTGCTTCTGCTTCCATTCCGTCCCAAATCCCAAGGCTTTTCCAGTCTTGAGTGCAGGGGTTGAGATTAGAGAGTCCCTCGGTGCAGGCTAGGCTTTAGTTAGCTTCTCCGCATCGCTGGTAGCGCGGGTTAGCAAGGGATCGGAGCTCCTTTGCTCGCACTGAATGCCGGTCCTGAGCCGCCTGCACCGCCTGCCAGCCATGATTGCTCTTCGCACGCCATTCCGTCTCGGAGCAATCCAATCGCCAGCGACGTCATTGTTGCCTGCCAGCGTCGCATCGACCTCGCCTAGAATATTGAATCCCGTCGCACGGCTTCTACGATCGTCGCACGATCAGTCCCTTCTGCTAGCATCTAGACCGTTCCTTTCATCCACGCCGTCCATAACCCCCGTTACACGCCACAGACCCTTAACCGGCAAATCAGACGGCTGTAGAACGCTCTGCTCGTCAATACGAGCAGCAGCGTCCAGCGCGGAGGGCGGAATTAGCGGCGTGTCGGTAGCTGAAGCAGCTCCGGCGAAAGGCGATGCTTCGGTGGCTGGGAAGGGAACGGCCGAGCCGACCGTTGCGGCCGAGGCTAGTGGATCAGAAGCGAGCGAGGGGAAGGCTGCTGTGAGGTGAGCGAGCGCGGGAGGCTGGGGGTTGTGGTAGCAGTTCGGCTGCAGGCAATGCATCAGTGGCTGGGAACGGAACTCATGCGCCGCCAGTGCTGGCTCTCTCGGCTCTCTCGGCTCCATCGGCTCTGTCAGGCTGCATGCGATGCCTCACATTGAACGATGCCTCACATTGAACGATGCCTCACATTGAACGATGCCTCGCATTGAACGATGCCTCGCATTGAACGATGCCTCGCATTGAACGATGCCTCACATTGAACGATGCCTCACATTGAGCGATGCCTCACAACTGATCTGATCGTCCTTGAGATGGCATTGAACCGGCATTCAGCCATGCACTGGCGTCCGTCTCCACATTTGCGGCTGCACCTGTTCCCTTCTGCTTGTACGCGCCAGGAAGCGCCTCGTTTCGGGCGTGCAGCCGACGGGCAGCATCCATCTGGGGAACTACCTGGGCGCCATCAAGAACTGGATCCCCCTGCAGGTGCGCTCACTACTTGCTGGAGCGAGGGAGGCGTTCATGGCACCCCTAACTTGGCATTCATGGCACCCCTAACTTGGCATTCATGGCACCCCTAACTTGGCGGTGGAACAGAATTAGGCGTTTTAAGAGTGGACCAATGCAGCCACAATTCGTTCCCCTGTCTCCTTTATTACATTTCTAAGGCGTGCACTGAACGTGGTGTTTATATGTCACGCATGCCACGTGGTGTGGCTATTCTTGACTATCTGTTTGCCGTTTACGCCATGGTATGGCATGCTTGACATGGCTTGGGATGGAATGGCGTTGTATGCGCGTGTCGTGTGCAACGGCATGGCATGGCATGGCATGGCATGGCATGTGACATGCGCATGGGTGATTGCAGGACGAGTGCGACACCTTCCTCTTCGTGGTCGACCTGCATGCAGTAAGTGCCGCATCACCCCCGCCTGCCGTCGCACTTCCTTAGCTCTCACTCCTACACTTCCCACCCAACTCGTCGAACTGCTGCCTCCACTCATGTGTCCGAGTCCTCTCCCAGTCCGCTCCCTACTTCGTCCTCTCCACCCGCATTCGCCCCTCAGTCCCCTTCTACCCAGAGTCCAGCCTACCCCAGGACCTGACGTGGAGGACCTCTCCAGAGCATCCTGCATGGCTGCAGTCGTGCGAGTCTCTCACAGCCGCCCCCCTGCAGCTCACACGCCAACCTTCTGTGCACCCTCCCTGCCCGCAGATCACCCTACCCCACGACGTTGCGGACCTTTCCCAGGCATCCCGGACTGCTGCTGCCATCTACCTGGCGTGTGGCGTGGACCCAGCAAAGGCGACGGTGTTCGTGCAGTCGCACGTGCGTGCGCATGCCGAACTGACGTGGCTGCTGTCGTGCACCACGCCCATCTCGTGGCTCAACAAGATGATCCAATTCAAGGAGAAGGCGCGCAAAGCGGTAAGAAGGTGTGCAAAGCGGTATGAAGGCGCGTAAGGCAGTATGGTTCTGGAGCTGTAGGCCTGCAGGCTAGGCTATTACCACCTTGGGGATGAGCATGCTCACCGTCATATGTACGTATGATGCAGCTGATGTGCTAGATGCAGCCTGCAGGTGCGTCATGCTGGTGCGTGATGTCCCACGCAGCATGATGTCTCACGCATGGTGTCTCATGGATGATGTCTCAGATATGTTGTCCCAGGCATGCCCACGCATGGTGGCTCACGCATGATGGCTCAGGCATGATGGCTCAGGCATGATGGCTCAGGCATGATGGCTCAGGCATGATGGCTCAGGCATGGTGGCTCAAGAGGATTCTTGCATGGGAGGAATTGGTCCTTTTGGCTAGACTCCCATCAGCTCACGCTACCAGTCTCTTCCTCCCCTTGCCTGCTTCTCCCTGCCTGCTTCCCCCTGCCTGCACCCCCTGCCTGCTTCCCCCTGCCTGCTTGCAGGGCGAGGACGTGGGATCGGGGCTGCTCACCTACCCGCTCCTCATGGCCGCGGATATCCTGCTCTACCAGGTTCGCCGCTCTGCTGCTCAGGTGGTTCTTCAGGTGCTACTTTGCTTCCCAGGTACGTCTCCATGCGTGTCTCTCGATATCTTCATGTCTCTTTGCCCTCCATGCTTGCTGTACGCAGGGCAGCGTGGTGCCAGTGGGAGAGGACCACAGGCACCATCTGGAGCTCCCTTGACTCTCTTGCCCTCATTGAACCTCTCCCTGCCTCATTTTGCCTCTCCCTGCGTCGCCCTGTCTCTACCGCTGACCATGCGCAGTGCGACGTGGTGCCAGTGGGCGAGGACCAGAGGCAGCACCTGGAGCTCACCAGAGACGTGGCAGCGCGGATCAACAACCTCTACGGCGGCAGGAAGTGGAAGAAACGCGGAGGGTATGCCTAATCCACACGTGCATGTATGGCCCTCCTCCGCACACTTGCACCACATGCCCATGTACCATCCTTATCCCTCACACGCTGCTCTACAGTGCTGCATCCTTATGCTGCGTCCCGTTCTCCCCACTGCGGCCTCTCGCACTCTTATGTCCGCACAGGCGGGGCGGCCGGGTGTTCAAGGTGCCGGAGGCCATGATCCCCCCTGCTGGCGCGCGCATCATGTCACTCACGGATGGCACTGCCAAGGTGGGTGCTGGGTGCTGCTCGCGGCTGCTGGCTGCTGCTGGGACCTGCTGGCTTCTGTTGGGTGCTGCTGGGTGCTGCTGGGTGCTGCTGGGTGCTGCTGGTTGCTGCGTGCTGCTGGCTGCTGCTGGCCCGCTGCTTATCCCCCTTCCTATCCCCGCCCTCGTTCGTGCTTCACTCCTTTCACCTGCACGTACCGCGCGTGCAGATGTCCAAGTCAGCCCCGTCCGACATGTCGCGAATCAACCTGCTCGACCCCCCTGATGTGCGTCCCCCCTTCTTCCATCCCCTCGCCTCCTCTCTTTCCTCCTCTTGCTTCCTGCCCTTACGTCCCCTCTCCTTTCTAACCATCCCAGTTTCTCCCTCCTCCTCTGCTCGGCTACCATCCTCATCTACGCCCCTCCTCCTCTCCACTCGCCCCACCTCTTCTCTCACCATATATGTCCTTCCCTCTTGCCAATCCCTCAGTCCAGCTCTACTCGGATGCCCACTTCTCACCTCCTCCCTCCTCCCCGCCCTGCCATACAACCCTCTGTGCGTCTGCTGTGTGCAGGTGATCGCCAACAAGGTCAAGCGCTGCAAGACAGACAGCTTCACGGGGTGAGAGAGGGAGGGGATGGGGTGAGGGACGGATGGGGTGAGCAGCCAGTGTTCTGATGCGGGGAGAGTGGCAAGACGGGAGAAGTAGAAAAAGGGAGAAGGGGATGAAAGGAGGAATTCAGGGTAGTTGTTTTGACTCGTCTGCTCTTGCATACCATGCTCAGGCGTTATACCCCTTAGCACCACCATCTTTATCCTCCCTTCACTGCACCCCTCCCTCCTCACGCCTTTAGCACCTCCCCCGGTGCAGCATGGAGTTTCAGAGCGCCCCGAGCGCCAGAACCTGTTCGCCGTCCCGCACCTCCTGTGCCTCCGTTCCCCCTCCCTGTTCACCCCACAACCCCTCTTCTGTCCGCACCCTCTCTCTCTCTCCTCCAACCTCGTTTGCAGCATGGAGTTTGGCAATCCGGAGCGGCCCGAGTGTCAGAACTTGATGTCAATTTATCAGATCGTCACGGGGAAATCCAAAGAGGTCAGACGAGAGGGGAGCAATGAGGGCAGACAAAACGGGGAAAGGGGTTGGGAGGGAGGGAGGAAACGAGAGAGGAGAGGGAAATGAGTGAGGGTGGTTGAGAGCCTTGCAAGTGAGGGCGTGCAGCACTGTACACTGCCTCCCACGCCCCGTGCCACTCTCTTGCAACCCACGCCCCCCATGCCCCTCATTCCTTGCCTCTCTCTTGTTGCCCCTCCTTCCTTCCCCCTCTCTCTGACCCAACTCGCTCTGTGCATGCCAGGAGGTGCAGCAGGAGGTGGAGCCGTTGAGCTGGGGGCAGTTCAAGCCGCTGCTTGCAGACGCCCTCGTCGCGCACCTAGAGCCAATCCAGGCAAGCCACGTGTCCACGGTTTCTAGTCAAGCCATGCACTGCCTATCATCTGTTTCTTCCATGGTGCTATTCTTTTATGAACATAAATATGCTGCCTCTCATCCCATCCCTCGTCGGGTTTCGTGCAATTGACATTGACACTCTCCCCACATGGCATTCACATTCACCAGAAGCGGTACAAGGAGGTGACAGCAGATGCGGCCTATCTGGATGGGGTCCTGGCGGAGGGAGCGGCACGAGCCGGTGAGATTGCTGACCGCACACTAAGGGACACTTATGATGCCCTAGGATTCATGGCTCCTCCACGTAGATAGTAGTACATCAGCGTGGTGCGTACATAGGTAGTTCTGGAATTGCAGCCCCTTGTCAGCTGGTGTTGCGAACTCGACGAAATCATGTATATCCTCTGGTCTAGATTTTCATCTTAAATTAGGTATGCGACACCTGATTCCAAATGTTAGGTTGTAGTGGTTGACGTAATACGGAGTAAGCCTTCTCGGAATTAATGATGGGGTAACAAGTCTGAAGTGTGGTAGATTGCTCCCACGAGCTGGGCGCTTTTCCACTGATAACTGTAGACGCGAAGACTCTCGGGCAGGTCGAAAACCGATCGACGGCCAAGAATCCATCTCACTTCTCTCAGCCGAAACTTTCCAGGCCTCGAGAATGGATCGAGGCGGTAAAACCCTCAACGGTGGGCAGCAGGTTGGGGTGGCCGATAAAAAGAGGCAGTCCTCTAAGAGGAGGATTTCTCGGCTGCTTTTCCTGCTGCTCTCAGTTATGTCCCTCCTGCTGCTGCCTGCCTGCCGCTCCCTCCGCTCCGTCGTCAGTCGCAGTCGCACGCCCACAGCTACGCTGCTCCACCCTCCATGTCCGACGTGGCTCGAACCGCCCAACCCACCAGGTTCAGTCAACAGCGAGCCCTCTTCCCCACTTGCCAGTTCGCTTCCCTGCTTTTTAGAACTCGCCGCCACGATTCCGTTTGCACCTAGTGTGCGTAGACCTAATTGATCGCTTATGTAGTTGCTTAGCTTGGTTTCGCCGTCTCGTGTCGTAGCCCTACCGTTTCAACTCGTCGTTCTAGTCGTCTATCGTGCCAAAACCAACATGATCCGTGACTTAGGCTGTTTTCCCTCCCATTACGCTATTTCTTCTCGCTCACCGTCTCGTCTCTTAGTCACGTACTGTTTTTTTCCACGTGTCTTGTCGGCGTAGGAAACTGGTTCACCAGTAACGCTGATTGGTTGCTTCTGTTTACTTAGCTAAGTGACGCTCCGCGTCGCGACTTTGCTTCGGCCCGTGTTCTTAAATTCCTTGACCATGACTTAACCTTACTTTCTTTCTGTGCCTCTTCTTCTCGTTCAATGCGTCTTCCCTTGACGATGCGCAGGTGTTACTTCTAGATCGTCGACTTCGCCGTCGCCACGTGGCTCCTGGTCCGTCATTGGCGGCGAGATTAGGGACGAGACCGTTACCCAGCGGATTTCCCAGTTTCGCGTGGTACAGTAGATACCAGTCTCTTTATCGACGTTAGGGTAGCATCAGCAGTGTTTTCAGTAAGCGAGCTTTGCGGGTGCAATGGCTACCTCTATCGTCCGCATCCCTTCATTCGTTCTCGACAGTCGGTAGTATTGGTCTATGCCTCTCGAGAAACACGCGTCAGATCGATCGCATCAGCCTTCGCACCCGTCCCCATCGCTAGATCTACAACCGCAGCCGATCGACCACCTTGTTAGAAAAATTTAGGCGAGCAGATGACATTAGACGACCGAGTGACGAGATCGGCAGGTCGGTCAGCTGTCACGAGATCAGAATCCGCGTTTTGATCAGCATCGCAGATCTTTCACCCCTTCCGCTTGCATCGGCGCATTTCCATGGACGGGTCCTCTAATCCGTCGCTCCCAGGAAACTCCCTTCTCACCGCCGCACCTCCCTCCCAGTCACCCTTATCGTCGTCTCCCCTCACCCCGCCTCCCGCTCTTCCCCGTACTATCCCGCAAGCGGGACTCGCTTCCGCAAACCATCAGCTAGCGCAACCTTGTTCCGCCGCACCCGGCGCGACTTCCGTCATCGCGTCTGGCGCAATCGGAAACCCCGCAATGTCGCATCCCCTTGCCTTACAGGCTTCCGCAATGCGGCCTGTTGCGGCTGCGCCCGGGAGAGTTCCGCGGATTGCGCAGGTAACGTCAGCGCGGGTGACCCCTCAGCCTCCGCCTCAGTCTTCCCCTTCCCCTCAGTCTGCGCCTGCCCCAGCGTCCTCTTCGCCTCAGCCTTCGCCGCAGCAGGTGCAGCAAAGTCAGAGGCAGCAGCAACTGCAATCGCAGCAGCAGCAATCTTTGCAGTCGCATCAGCAGGCGGCTCAAACGCCGCCGCCGCAGCAGCAGCAGATCTCACAGCCGCAGGCGCAGCAGCAGCAGCACACACCTCAAAAACCGTCGTTGCTGCATCCACTGCCTCCCCGCGTGCACCAACAACCGAGACCCATAGCCATTCGGCCAGTGCAAGCAACGGTACAGCAGCAGGCGCAGCACTTTCAACACCAAACGTCACCCCTTGCATCGAAAATACCCCCACAGCAGGCACAGCAACCAACGCACCCGGTGCTTCCGTCGAGCCAGAAGCAGCAACCTTTGCAGCAGCAGGGCATGCCAGCTCAGGGAAGCTTTCTTTCAGCGCAGCAGCAGGGGACGCAAGCGTCTCAGCAGCTGCTGCAGCAACAGCGGCAACAGCAGCTGCAGCAACGGCAGCAACAGCTACAGCAGCAGCAACTGCAGCAACAGCAACATCAACAGCGGCAGCAGCAACAACAACAACAGCAACAGCAGCAACAACAGCAACAGGGGCAACAGGGGCAACAGCAGCAACAGCAGCAACAGGGGCAACAGGGGCAACAGCAGCAACAGCAACAGCAACAGCAACAGGGGCAACAGGGAGTCGCTCAGGCGCAAACACAGCAGCAGCTGATGAAGCAGCTGCAGCCGTTGTTGCTGCAGCAACAAAAGCAGCGCCAGGCGCAACAGTACGCCCAGCAGCAGCAGCAGCAACAATTGCAGCCAGAAATGCTTCAGAAACTGCAAGCCACGCAACAAAGCTCACTCCAGCAGCAGCAGAAGCATTCGCAGCAGCCGCTGTTGCCGCAGCAGCAGCAGCAGCAGCAGCATGCATTGCAACAGCAACAGCGAAATCCGCAGCAACAACAGCAGCCACAGCAGCAGCAGCAGCTAAGGCAGGGTCCTCATGCGTCACCGGCACTGCTAGCGCAGCAGGTGAACGCGTCTCAGCAGAGAGCGCTGCAGCAGGACCAGCTGCTTCAGAAGCTCACCCCGCAGCAGCGGCACCTGCTGTCGCAGACGTTTCAGCAGCAGCAGCAGCAGCAGCAAATGCAAATGCAGCAGCAGCAGCAGCACACGCAGCAGCACACGCAGCAGCAAGGCGGTGCACTGCATCCACAGAACCATCCCCAGCACAAGCCACTGGCCCCAAAGCCTCAGGCGCCGCCCCCTGCATTGCTGCCGCTTTACCAGCTGCACCCCCCGCAGCCCCTAAACTCATCCCCTCAGGTGGCAAACGCGTCCCATCCTGCCCAGTCGCACGTGCAGAACCAGAGTGCAGTGCAGGCGCAGCAGACACAGCGCAAAGGGCAGGCGGGCGCACAGGCGGCAGCACAGGCACAGCTGCAGACACAAGCCCAGTCGGCGTCACAGGTGCAGGCGCAGCCGCGAGCAGGGGCGCAGGCGCAAGTGGGTGCCCAGCTGCTGCTGCCTACCGGGGCAGGTGGAGCGGAGCAGCAGATGAAACCTCCTATGAGTGCAGCAGCCAAACAGGTACAGGCGAGGATGGTGCAGGCACAGCAACAGGCGCAGGCACAGCAACAGGCGCAGGCACAGCAACAGGCGCAGGCACAGCAACAGGCGCAGGCACAGGCCCAGCAGGGGCTGCAGGGGCGGCAGGGGCAGCAGCAGGGGCAGCAGCAGATTAATGCCCAGAGGCAGCGGCTTCAGCAGCAAGTGGAAGGGTTTCTGCAGCAGCAACAGGCCGTACAGGGGCAGGGCCAGGGGCAGCAGCAGGTGCAGGGGCAGCAGCAGGAGCAGGGGCAACAGCAGGGCCGACAGCAGGGGCAAGTGCAGGGGCAGGGGCTGGCGGTGCAGGCTGTGCATCAGCAGGGGAAGGTACAGCAACAGCAGCAGCCACTGAAGCAGGCACAACAGCAGCAGCCAGTGCCAAAGCCACAGCATCACCAGAAATCACAACCACAGCAGAAGCAGCAGCAGGCACAAGCACAAGCACATGTACAGGCACAGGCACAGCAGCGGGTGCAGCAGGCTCAACCAAGGCGAGCTCAAGACAAGTCTCACCACCCCCTTGAGCTGCCCGCCCTCTCCTCCTCCCGCCTGCCCCGACTCACCTCACCGTCCTCTCAACTCAAGCGGCCCGCCGCCCAAGCAACCCCCTCAGTTGCGGCAAAAACTGAGAACCAAACCGGCAATGGGCCCTCTGGCCCTGCTGCCCCTTCCCCATCGCCTCCCCTGCCCCATGGCTCTCACACAGCAGGGCAGGGATCTGGCACAACCAGGCGAAGTCTTGCTGGCTCAGGGAGAGGGGCAGGTGATTTCTCAGGTGGTCATGTGAAGGATGGGTTGGTGCCAGGTGGGGTGCCAGGTAAGGCCCTTGCAGAGGTGAAGAGGGTTGGGGTGGGTGTGCAGCAGGCAGTGGCGGGGAGGGGGGCTGCTGATGCCAAGGCTGCAGCTGAGGCGGCTGCAGCAGCAGCAGCGCAGGCGGAGAGGGAGAAGTTGAGGCGGAGGAAAATGCAGATGCGGGCGCTGCAAGCCGTGCTCTCCCACTGCTCTGCCGTACGTGCTGGTCCTCTGGGTGGGCTCGCTTGTACCTCATGGTTGTAGTTTCTCTTTGTAGTTTGATCTGCAGTTTCCTGTCACCTCGAAAAGCATTTACTTCTTATGTTTCATACTCTTGCAGTCACGTAGAGCACCGAGTCTCATGATGCCTTGCCTTGACTCACATACTCCTCTGTATCCCCCACCTCCCTTCTCTCTCACCAGGAGTCCACAAGAGCACACAAGCTCCGCCTGCAGAGGCTCCGTGAGGCTGACGAAGCTGCAGCGCAGGCTCGGGCCGAGGCTCTGGCTCGGTACACGAGCAACGCGGAGCTGCTGCAGGAGATATTCTCCTGCGACTCCACGCAGCTCTCTTGCCTCGCCTCCTGTGCCATGATGCGCAGCCGTGCGGGCCCTTCTGGCGCTCATGGGGAGCAGGATGTAGCAGAGGGAGGCGAGGGGGGTGATGGGGAGGAGGAGGTGAATGTGTGTGTGGCAGAGGCGGGGTTTGAGATGCTTGCTGCTGTGGCAGCTGAAGGCTGTGGAAGGGAGACTGGGGAGGGGAATGCGGGGTCCTGTGGGGCTGATTCTAGAGCTGCTGGTGCTTCTTCGGCTGCTGTTGGTCTGACAGGGTCGCGGCTTACGGTGGCACCGTACGGAACTTTAACGAGTGGTCCGTCCGTTCTATTGACTAAGTCTTCTGCCGGATTTCGAGCAGGAGAGGGGGCTGTCGGAGTGGCCAATGAGGGGAAGCGGTGGGCACAGGAGGTGGCTGTCATGGCAGCTGACTTTGACCCTGTGACGATGGGATTCAGAAGTCAGCAGGCAGGCAGGGAGCAGACTGCAGGGATACATGAGGTTGGTGGGAAGAGGCCCAGGGGGGAGGGTGGAGAGGGAGAGATTGAGGAGGTAGGACGTGGCGGGAGGAGGAGAATGTGGGGTGCGGCTTGGGATGATGCGGCACCATCGGCACCTGTGTTCACAAATCATGCTTCACGTCACTGGGGTGGTCGATGGGGGGAAGGCTCTGTTGCAAGTGCTTCTGAAGCAGTTGCTGTTGACGACACAGAGGATGATGTAGAGGAGATGGATGATGAAGAGAAGAGGTTTGAAGAGATGCTGGAGGAGAGGAATAAGAAGATGGACGAGTTTGAGAAGATCATGACAGTAGCAGCTGCAGCATCAAGTGCAAGTGACATTGGAAATTGTGAAGCAGTGTTTGCGTCATGTTTCCCCCATCTGCAAGGGGAAAAGAAGCTTTGATCGATTTCTGTGGATGGTGTGTACTCAAGTCTCTAACCATTCTGATTATATGACTAATTTGAGAAATTGGGTAGGAACTGTTAACGTAGAAACGAATGATTACTAGAGGTGGAAACCTAGAACAAATACTAGTTGGTTGTACTCACTAGAAGCATACCTCAGTCTAGCCTATAACTTCTACATAGATAATATGTATAAGTTGACACACCCCCTAGGCTAGACAAGGGGTGAAACTAAACAAGAAGCAAACAGCTCAGGGCGGCACTACTAGTCCAACCACTGAGGCAGGGGTCTGGAGACCAGTCAGCAAGAATACAACCAAAACTGAAGCAAGCCAGGGTGGCACTACTAGTCCAGCCACTGGAGGTAAGACCACAAGGCCAGTCTGACAAGCATATATAATAGAGAGTACACAATCAGGATCCTAACAGGGGAGCAGCTACAGGAACAAGACCAAGCTGTACACAGTGTCGCTGATGATCTTTAGGCGCAAGCGCCTTAGTAAAGATATCAGCTGTGTTGGCACCTGAGGCCAAGTGAACTACGCGGGCCTGGCGGCGCTGCTGTAGCTCGCGCAGGAGGAAGTACCGCAGCTGGATATGCTTCGCTCTGCCCTCAAGCCGAGGCTCCTGACACAGGAGTATCATGGCCCTGTTGTCAGCGTACAGGACCGGGGCAGAGCTAGGCCGCTCACCTAAGTCAGTGAGCAAGAAGGTCAGCCAGCGGAGCTCCTGTGCCGCCATGGCACCAGCGTAGATCTCAGCCTCACAGCTAGACTGAGCCACAGACGACGAGCGAGTGGATCTCCAAGAGATAGCACCCGAACCAAGGCTGAAACAGTAGCCCTGCGACGACCTGAGCGTCTCAGCGTCGTCTGCCCAAGAAGCGTCTGTGTGCCCAGTAAGGACCACTGGCCTGCGTCCTCCTAGCACTAACCCCATGCCTGATGTACTTGCAAGATAACGCAAAACCCTCTTAGCGGCAGACCAGTGCTGAGGTCGGTGTCTGCCTGTAGCCACAAAGCGAGCCAGGATGCTGAGAGGGTATGCGAGATCTGGGCGAGTGCAAGTCATCAGGTACATGAGGCAACCCACCAGCTCTGCGTAGGGGCCACTGGGCTCTACTGGCTCCTCAGGAACGGGAGCAGAGAGCCCATGGTCTACGGGTAGAGGTGTGGGCTGTGCAGAGGAGAACTGAAGACCGAACCTCTGAAGGACCTGACGCACCAAGTGTGACTGGGTCAGAGTGATGGTGCGTGCTGCTCTGTCCCTAGAGATCTGCAGGCCAAGATAGCGACGCAGCTCTCCAAGGTCAGTGCAGGTGTGTCTCTTCAGCAGCTCAGCCTTCACAGAGGCCAGTGCGTCCCTGTCAGGAGTAGCGAAGACCAGGTCGTCTACGTAGACAAGGATGTAGAACGGAGTCTGGCCGGAACGCACAAACAGTGAAGGGTCAGCAGAGGACGGAAAGAACTGCAGGTCTGCTAACGTGGCACGTAGCGTGTCGTGCCACTCGCGGGGAGCCTGACGCAGGCCGTAGACCGGGCGCCTGAGAAGCCACTGGGTCCCAGGAGGGAAGGTACCAGTGAAGCCCTGTGGTCGGCGCAGGTAGACCTGCTCGTGTAGGCTGCCCTGAAGAAAGGCAGTAGAGAAGTCGAGGGAGTGAAGCTCGTAGTCACGCTGTGATGCTACGTGTAGCAGCGCCCGAAGAGTGGTCATCTTCGGGGTCGGGGCGAAGGTCTGGAAGAAGTCAACCCCCTCGCGCTGACTGAAACCTCTGGCCACGTAGCGCGCCTTGAAGACAGGCGGCTCTCCAGGGGGGCGCTTCACCTTGAAGAGCCACCGACCATCGACTACGTTCACCCCAGGCGGGGGAACTGCGTCGACGTAAGTTCCGGTGGATCTCCAAGATGCCATCTCCTGCTCCATGGCAGCTATCCACTGAGAGGCCCAAGGTCCCGAGGTGGCCTCAGCGTAGGTGCGAGGGGTCGGGATGTCGAAGGCGTCTGGGTCACCCTCAGGGACTAACAACATGGAGCAGAGATGGGGAGCAGCCTCGGAAAGGAAAGCCAGCTCGTACTGCCTGTCCTCTAGGACGTCACTGCCAAGGGCAGGAGCACCCCCGACGGACAGAGGACGGGCAGGGTCAGAGACCAGAGCGGTAGCGTAGTCAAGGCGGCGGGTAGAGGCGAAGTCAGCGACAGCAGCGACAAGCGCGTCAAGGCGCGAGACAGGAACAGCAGGGTCGGTAACAAGAGAGGCAAGGACCCGAGGGACAAGGGGACGAGCAGCACGGAGGTAGTCAGAGAACGGAGGAGGTGCAACAGCAAGGGACGAGGGAGGAGGGGACGGGAGGAGGGGAGGACGAGACGAGTGGGAACGGAGCAACATAGGGTGGGTGGGCAGGACAGGAGAGACGGGACGAGCACGGGAGGGACGGCGAGCCCAAACGTGAGACGGAGGGGTAGGGTCAGGGGACAGCGGAGGAGACACAGGAGGGGAACGAGGAGGAAGACGGGCCGGAGACGAGTCTGGCGGCGGGAACACAGGACCGTAGACAGGAAGGTCAGGAGGCGGTGGGGGAGACACCGGCGCGCGGTCCGGGGAGGGAAGGCCGAGCAGGCGGAGAGCGGAAACCGGCGGCGACGGCTGCTGCGGCGGCGACGACGGCTGGGCCGGAACTCTCGGACCAGCAGAGGCAGAACGACCGTCGGCAGAACACTCAACAGCAGCACCCCCAGAACCAACACCCCCAGAGCGAGAACCCCCTCCAACACCAGCGGCACCCCCAGAAGCCGCAGGACGAACACCCTCTTCCACACCAGCACCCCCAGGGGCCGAGAGCAGCGGCGGCAGTGGCGGCAACGGCTGCGGCGGCGGCGACAGCGGCGACGGCTGCGGCAGCGACAGCGGCGGCGGCGGCGACGACAGCGGCGACGGCTGCGGCGGCGACGGCGACGGCGGCGGCAGCGGGGTCGGCGACTGCGACAGTGGGGGCGGAGGCACCGGGGAAGGGGGACGCGGCAAGGACGGACCGGGGGTACCACCAGAGTCAGCAGACTCCTCAACGGGGACAACCGACGGGAGGGGAGTGACGTGGGAGACACCAGACGGGGCAGGACGAGGCGGGAGAGGGGCAGGGGCTACCGGGGGAGAGGGAGCAAGGAAAAGGGGGGGGGCAACTGGGAGACCTCGGTGAGGGAACCGGCGGTAGAAGGAGACGGACTCGTCAAAGGTGACGTCACGAGAGTGGAGGAAGCGGTGAGACGGCGGGTGGTAGAAAAGCCAGTCAGACGAGTCCAGGGGGAAACCGAGGAAGACACAGGGGACAGTGCGGGCAGTGAGCTTGTCCGTGCCAGAGGCACGAACGTGAGCAAGGCAGCCCCAGACGTGGAACGCAGACGCGTCACCGGGGGACCCGGTCCAAAGGAGGGTCGGCGAAACCTGCGGCCGCAGGGAGCGTGGCCACAGGTTCAGCTGGTGAGCCGCGTAGCGAACAGCGAACGGCCACAGAAAATGGGGGGCATCGGCATGGATCATGGAGGTACGGGCGACCTCCATGACCAAGCCGATGCGGCGCTCAGCAACCCCATTCTGCTGTGGCGAGTCCGGCAACGTGTACGACTGGGTGATGCCCTCCGCACGACAGAACTGTCCAAGCCGACCAGAGGCGAACTCGCCGCCACGGTCGGAGTGGAGACACAACACGGGGAGACCGCGGTGGAGACGCGCAGCCACAACCCACGGGAGAAGAACGTCGGGCACGTCGGCCTTCCGCTCCAGGGGAAACACCGTGGTGTAGCGCGTGTAGTCGTCGACGAGCACAAGGAAGTAGCGCTCACCGCGCGGTCCGGGGACGGGGGCAGGGCCCCAAACGTCCAAGTGCAGGGTCTGAAGGGGGGCAGTAGCAGGACGCAGCGAGGAGGAGTGAGGAGCACGGCGGAGCCGACCCTCGACGCAAGGCGTGCACGGTGGCGCAGTCGAGGGAGGAAGGGCAGGGAGCGACGCGGGGAGACCTAAGACAAGACCGTGCTGGGACATGTGACGCAGACGCGGGAGAGCAGGGTGACCTAAGCGGTGGTGCCAGAGAAGGGAGGGGTGAGTGAGGGACCGACACGAGCAAGCTGCAGCGACCTGGGAGGACGCACCAACCGGGGGGGAAGCGGTGTGTAGGGTAAACAGACCGGACACCGGGTCCCGGGGGAACGTCGCAAGGGGGGAACCTGAGACAGCCTCAGAACAGACAGCGAACCGCTCGTGCCCGGGGAACGTGGTGGTGACGCCGAGGTCCTGGAGACAGCCGACACCAACCAGGTTGCTGGAGAACGAGGGAACGTGGAGGCCAGTAAGGGAGCCCGAGGGAACTGCCGGACAAGGAAGGGACGTAGAACTGCGCGCGACGACCGGACCCGCAGAGGGGTCAGCGAGAGAGACAACAGCAGGTGCAGCAAGCGGCGTGAGCGTGGAACGGTCGCGGAAGAAGCAGGCAGAAGCACCAGAGTCGAGAGTGAAGGACAGCGACGCAGTGGCGGAGGCCGGGGACGGAGCCGGTGCAGCGACTAGACTAGGCAACCTAGGCAGTCCTACGCCTGTCGCAGCAGGGGAAGCTAAGCTACACAAGGGTGAAACACCTAAACTAGAGTACACAGGGTAGTAAGATCCAGCAACACTAGAAGCGTCAGCATACAAAGCATGCAAGGCAGCACCTGTCTGATCCATGTCTAACTCAAAGATCGGCACGCCCTGGCGGAGCAGGCTGTGCCAGTCAGGGAGGTCCGGGGCCGGGCCAAAGCGACGACGAAAAAGATCGTCGAGGCGGCGGAAACAGCGGGCGGTCGGGTGCGGGCGGCGGCACAGAGTGCCGCGGAGAGGCCCGGTCTGAAGCTGGTACTGGCAGGTCACAGCACTGGAGCCGCTGGTAGACGCCAAGCTGCGCGGGCCGCCACCACGGCCACCGCCTCCGGAGATGCCGGGCCAACCAGGCGGGAGACGAGCCCACGGCTGCGGCGGGTGCTGCTGGGACGGCGGCTGCGGCTGGGGCTGGTCCTGCTGCTGCTGGGGCTGCTGCTCCTGCCCACCGGTGGTAGTCCCCTCAGGCGGACTACCGTCACCACCACCACGACCACTACCACCTGCGTCACCACCCCTACCTCCCTGGCGGCCACGGCCACCGCGACGCGAGCGCTGCTGCGGGTGGACAGCAGCAGCCGTCTCGGTAAGAGGGGTCGCCGTGGCGACCGCAGCCGAAACGTCAGTGAACGTGCACTGGGATGGGGCACAGCCGTGAAAGATAGAGACTGCCGGCGCACCGCTCGACTGAGCGATAGTGCGCTGGCGAGTCTCGATCTCAGTGAGGGTGTCGACAAAGGCGGTCAGGGTGAGGTCACCCGGGTGCTGGCTAAGAAAGTGGTCGCGAGCACTAGCGAGGCGGTCTGGCAGGCGCATAGCGATAAAATAGAGCGTCATGCAGAAAGGAGGGGGGAGCGCAGTGAGCTGGGCAGCAGTGCTGGCAGTGCGATAGCGAGTCTCTAGGGCACGCAAATGAGTGGCAAAGTCTGCGACAGTAGGGAAGGCAGCCAGGTCTGGGAACAGCATCGGAAAGAGCAAGCGGCCAGCAGAAGCGGAGGCAGGGGTGGAATAGCGAGCAATAACGGCGTCTAAATAAGCTTTGGCCGTTTCAACAGTAGCAAAACGCGAGCGCTCAGACACAGGGAGGGCGTGACTAATAGCAACCTGAGCTACTGCATCGCGTGAGTCCCAGACCGCACAGGCCAGCGCAGCAGTAGAGAAAGCCTCACGGTCATCAGAGGAGGGGTCAGCAGGGAGGGGAGTAGGTGCAGGGGGACGGGGGAGCAAGCCATCAGCATGGACAACCAGAGAGTGGCCATCCTGGCGCTGACCTGTAAGCTGGCGGCGGAGATCGGAGAGCCAGGCGGCGAAGTCAACCGCGTGGCCCTCAGCGTCCAGGCGGAGCACAAAGTCAGCCATCGTGCAGGGTCAGCGGCACAGCTCCTCAGCGACACAGCGGCACAGCAGCACAGCTCCTCAGCGGCACAGGAGCACAGCGGCGCGGGGACACGGCGGCAGCACTCTCCAGTAGGGCAGCAGCTAGGCGTCCCAGCGCAGGCGAGCAGAAGACACAGGGCCCGAGAGGACACGGCAGGCCGAGCAGGGGAGGCGGGCAGGTGCTCTGGGGCCGGGCTGGTGCTGGGAGGGGCCAGGCTGGTGCTGCTGGGGCCGGTCGGGCACGAGGAGGGGCCGGGCAGCGCTGAGGAGAGGCCGGGCGGCGCTAGGAAGGGGCCGGGCGGCACTAGGAGGAGGCCGAGCGGCACTAGGAGGCCAGGCAGGCGAGCGCTAACAGCAGGCGCGACAGGGGCCAGCGGGCGCGACGAGGCCTAAGGGGCGCGACGGGGCCCAGCGGGCACGACGGGGCCCAGGGGGGGCGCGACGGGGCCGAGGAGGCGCGACGGGGACCAGCGGGCACGACGGGGCCCAGGGGGGCCGCGACGGGGCCTAACGGGCGCGACGGGGCCCAGGGGGGGCGCGACGGGGCCTAGCAGGCGCGACGGGGCCTAGGAAGCGCGAAGGGGCCCAGCGGGCGCGACGGGGCCTAGGAGGCGCGACAGGGCCCAGCGGGCGCGACGGTGCCCAGAGGGGGCGCGACGGGGCCTAGGAGGCGCGACGGGGCCCAGCGGGCACGACAGGGCCTAGGAAAGGCGCGACGGGGCCCAGAGGGGGGGGGACGCGACGGGGCTTAGGAGGCGCGACGATGCCTAGGAGGCACGACGGGGCTCAGCGGGCTCGACGGGGCCCATGGGGGGCGCGACGGGGCCTAGGAGGCGCAACGGGGCCCAGCGGGGGCGCGTTAGGGCCTAGGGGTCGCGATGGGGCCCAGCGGGCGCGACGGGGCCCAGGGGGAGCGCGACGGGGCCTAGGAGGCGCGACGGGGCCCAGCGGGCACGACGGGGCCCAGGGGGGGCGCGACGGGGCCTAACGAGCGCGACGGGGCCCAGGGGGGGCGCGACGGGGCCTAGGGGGCGCGACGGGGCCTAGGAGGCGCGACGGGCGGAAGCGGTAGGCGGGGGGATCCTAACCTAAGCGTGATACCATGTTAACGTAGAAACGAATGATTACTAGAGGTGGAAACCTAGAACAAATACTAGTTGGTTGTACTCACTAGAAGCATACCTCAGTCTAGCCTATAACTTCTACATAGATAATATGTATAAGTTGACAGGAACATGCATTGTATTGAGTTGACTTAGTGCATTTCTGTAAGGAAATGGTATTTCCTTATCACGGATTTTAGTCAGTAAGGCGTACAATGCTATAGCAGGGTTGCCGCGCAGCTCTGCCATGAAACTCAAATCGCGGTCCCAAATGTGGCCTCCTTACGAGCCGCATACATTGTTGCTCGCCTTGCTGTTGCATGCCTAGATCTGGGCGCTCCGCGCCATTTTACGAACCACACGTCGCAGCTCTGCCGAGCCACGACCGTGTGCTCCTAGGCTAGCTATATCCATGCTCTCTGTCCCTGCTGTTTTGATGTTGCCTCAGCTGTATTGTTTCCTCGCTAATCAATCTTTCGACACACGCTCTTTGCGCTTCATTACACCTGGCCATCAGAGCCAACGATCCTTAGCCTTGCGCTCTAGTTCCGCTGCAATACCGACACTTAGGGAGGGTGACGCCCTGCGCTTACTGCATGTCCTTTAACCTGGTAACATTCATTGATAATTACCTACAGCCACGACTGCGTTCGCAGTGCCGAAGGCCGCCCAAAACTTCCGCGAAATGGTGGATCCGTCGGCATCTACCAGCATGACTCCTGAGGAAAGGCTGCAATACTTGATGAAGTCCGTCTCACTCACGATTTGTACCAGCAGGAGTTGACGCGCCTACGAGCTGAAACGGCCCAAGTCGAATCCGAGATATCTGCACTTCGGAGCCAACAGCAGCAGACACGGCACAACATGACCGCACCAACGACAAAACAACGCCAACAGGAGCAAGTAACCCAGCATCGTTCCGAAATAGCTGGCGACAATCAGCGACCAAACGCGACTTCGCCCGAGGGTTCGACGAACAACCTGCCACCGGCTATTGGACGAGCGGAAGTTGGCGAAAGGACGAACGTAAACCTGCCGCCCCCAATTACCCCTCCGTCCGGCCTGCAAACTGCCAACATCAGCATGGCGCCTGGAATTCTCAAGACACAGAGGCCGCCCACGTTCGACCCAAGCCAGCGTGGCAACTTATCCGTTAGCGGGTGGATTTTTTACCTGAATGTTTTTAACGACTGCAACCTCGTCAGCGACGTCGCGCAAAAAAATCCGGTACGCCATGTCACTCCTACATGGACCGGCTATGGATTGGTGGCAGCAGATAATTCGGTCGCAGGAGCCGGATACGACGCCGCGCGTAATCGGGCGTTTTCCTACGACCAATCACTGGGCAGGAAGTTATTGCAAGGTGGACGAGTACAGCACATGGCAATCGTGGTGCGCGGGAATTCATCGCCGCTTCTAACACGTCAATGCAAGCGTGCGACCGCCTTCGCACATGGCGCCAACTCGGATCGGTCCATGACTACAACAGCGACTTCAAGAATCTATGCGATCAGGTCGGCTACATTCACCCTGACGAGACTTTCGATAAATTCATCGGGGGACTTGGACCGGATCTGCGCAGAGAAATACAAGTCTGAGAAATTACAGATTTGATGGAGGCGCAGAGAGTTGCGGAGCGGTTGGATTCGTTCTACTGACCAAGGACAGGTTCCTATGGTGGAAACCACACTCGGGGACCAATCGAGCGTGCCACTGTACACGCTGTTACAACATCGAATTTAGCAGTTACAGCCTTCAAGGGTCGCTGTTTCGGGTGTAACAAACCGGGACACCGCAATTCAGAATGCCCAGAGGAGCGGAAGAAGCGGAATTAGGGGCAGGGGAGTTCCAGTGATCAGAGAAACACTTAGTATCAGTAGTTAACAGGGCTACTACTGATGGAACCTGCTCGCCCGTGACCGATGGCCCTCATCGAGTACTGGTACCGATCCACGCAATCGACAAAACTCGGTTGAATAAGGAGGGTGCAGATCCGGATTACCCTATCTATTTAGAGGATAGGATTCAAGGGAAAAAAATCAAAGTCTTCGTGGATGGAGAAGCCAGCAACAGTCTGATCAACCTCGCCACGGCAAAAAAAGTGAAGTTACCCTTAGATAGGTGTCAACCAGAGATTGACGCCCGACTAGTCGATGGAACCCCACTTGCAATAAAAGATAGGGCGGAGATGATTAGGGTACGTTGTGGAGCTGACTTCAATTTTTTTTATGGGAATGCCGGCAACTACACTCGATGGCTTCGATATGTTGTTGGGACGAAATCGGCTGCGACGATTCAACCCAAAAGTTGAGTGGACGACCTGTAGCTGTTCCGTCAAGATCAACGGTCGCAGTGTGACGTTACCAGAATGGTCGAAGAGATCATAGGGGGAGTGGCACAAGTGAACTCTGTGGTGATCAAACGAGTGGTCGCACGAAGAGCGGAAGTAATCGCTGTAGTCGTTCGCGCCATCGACGTGACATTGCAACCGTCCGATTTCGAGAAGCTGACAGCAGCAGTGCCGGCCGATTTAGCGCAGCTGATTCTCAGATTCCCGCATATATTTCCAGACGACCTGCCCGAGGGATTACCACCGGAATGGCCCTTTGACCATCGAATCAAAATTAAAATCAGGGACACAGCCCACAGTGCAGCGGGAATTTCAATTAACACAGCCGGAGTTAGAGGAATTACGGAAGTAGTAAGATTACTTACTGGAGAAAAAAATCATCCGTCTGAGCTCCTCGCCATTTGCCGCCCCATAGTGTTCACCCCGAAGAAAGTTAGCGGGTACCGAATGTGCACCGACTACAGAGCACTGAATAGGGTGACTATTAAGTCGCATTACCCTATCCCGCGCGCCGACGAACTCATCGACCAACTTCGCAAAGCTCGCTTCTTCTCCAAAATAGATTTACGAGGGGGTTACTCTCAGATTCGTGTAGTTGCAGCTGAGTGTCACAAGACTGCATTTCGTACTAGGTATGGGAGTTTCGAGTATGAAGTTATGCCCTTCGGGTTGACGAACGCCCTGGCAACTTTTAAAATGACCATGAACCAGATCTTCAGCTCACTCATAGATAGGTGTGTTATATTCTACCTAGACGATATCATGATCCACAGCGAGACCCGGGAGAAGCACTTAAAGGACCTCGAAGCAATTTTTCACGCTACTGCAGGGGCATCGGCTGCTCACGAAGGGGTCCAAGTGCGAGTTTTTAAAAGACCGCCTCGAATTTCTGGGACACATTATTTCTACCAAGGGCGTCGAAGTGGACCCGCGCAAAATCAAGACAGTGCAAGCCTGGCTACTGCCTAAGAACCTGCACGAGCTGCAAAATCTTTTAGGGTTCGTCAATTATGTTCGGAGTTTTATCCGCGCCGACGTGCCGTGCTGGCCCCTCAACTCGTCGCGCTCGCCCCTAGCTCGTCGCACTGACCCTAGCTTGCCGCGTTGGCCCTAGCTCGCCGCGCTGGCCTTAGCTCGCCCCGCCCCTTAGAGCGTGCCCCGCCCTTTTCACGCAGTCCTGGCTCCTAGCCCGCCGCGTTGGCCCCTAGCTCGCCGCTGGCCCCTCGCTCGTCGCTGGCCCCTAGCTCGCCCGCTGGCCCCTAGCACGCTCGCTGGCCCCTAGCTCGCCGCTGGCCCTTCGCGCACCGTGCGAGCCCCTTTTTTTCGCAGCGTGGCCCCCTAGCTTGCCGGCCCTAGCTCACCAGCCCTAGCTCGCCGGCCCCAGCTCGCCGGCCCCAGCTCGCCACCACCACTCTCACCGGGCCTAGCTTGCTCGCAGGCCCCGGTTCCCTCGCCAGTCCTACCTCGTCGGCCCTAGCTCGCTCGCTGGCTTCGCGCCGGCCCCAGCTCGCTAGCCCTCGCTCGCCGGCCCCAGTTCGCGCCGTGCCGCCATGCCGCAGTGCCGCCGTGGCGCCGTACCACCGTGCCACCGTGCCGCCATATCGCCGTAGCGCCGTACCGCCGTGCCGCGTGACCTCCTCGCCGTCGGCCTTGGTTCCCCTCTGAGCCGGTGCGTCCGCCGGCTGTCTCTCCACTGCTCTCCACCGTTCTCCACTGCTCTCCACCACTCTCCACCATTCTCCTCCTCCTCCAGCGGTCGTCAGCTCCTGCAGCCGTGGTTATCGCGGACGTTGTGCTCTGTCTGGACGCAAAGGGTCGGGCGGTCGACTTTGAGGCGTGGCTCGCCAAACTCCGCTGCCAGCTGAAGGGTCAGCGCCAGGACGGCCAATCCCTGGCCCTCCACATCAATGGTAAGCTCCCTTGCCCCGACCCGTCTGCTGCCCTCCCTGCCGCCCCCACACATGCTGAGCGTGAGGCCTTCGCCGCTGCCGAGCTTGCCTGCTCTGTCTAGGAGTCGCATGACGCAGAGCAGCAGCCGCAGCAGCAGCAGCAGCAGCCGTGGGCCCGCCTCCCGCCGGGGTGGCCAGGAGCCTCAGGAGGTGGTGGCCGCGGTGGCAGCCCTCGCAGCTCGGCATCGGCTGGCAGGTTCGGTCTTGTGAGCTACCAGTACCAGCTCCAGACCGGCCCACTCCACGACACTGTGTGCCGCCACCCGCACCCGATCGCCCGCTGCTTCCTCCGCCTCGACGACCTCTTTCGTCGCCGCTTCGGCTCGGCCTCGGACCTCCTTGACTGGCCCAGCCTACTGCGCCACAGTGTGCCGGTCTTTGAGTTAGACATGGATCGGATTAGTTCTGCCCTGCATTCTCTGTATGTTGATGCTTCTAGTGTGCCCGGATCTAATTACCCTGTGTTATCTAGTTTAGGTATAGTACCTGTGTGTAGTTCAAACTCCCCTGCTGCATTAGGCGTAGGACCTTTTGCCTTGTCTAGCTTAGGCTCCACACTCGCTCCTCCTTCGGCTGCCGCTTCTGCTTCGCTGTCCATTACACTTGACTCCGGTGCGTCTGCCTGCTTCTTCCACGACCACAGCACACTCACGCCGTTTGCCGCGCCTCCCGCCGTCGCACTTGCTGACCCCTCATCTGGTCCTGTTGTTGCTTGTAGCTACACTACCCTTCCGTAGAGGTTCCCTTGGGGTTCTCTTACGGGCCTGCACATCCCTTCGTTTTCAAGGAACATAGTTGGTGTCGGCTGCCTTCAGGACCTCGGCGTCACCACTACGTTCCCTGGTCACGAGCGGTACGCTGTATGTACCGAGGCCGCCTCAGGTGCCCCCCTTGCGACGTTCTCCCGGGACCCGGCGTCTGGCATGTTTACGCTGGACGTTGCTTCCCCCCTGGTGGGCGTGTCCTCCCAAGGTCCAATGTCTACCCAGGTCGCTGCGGCTTGCTTGTGTCGGTCGCTCACTCACCCGTCGCTTCTGTGGCACCATCGCCTAGGTCACCCCGCACTTCCGAGTCTACGTCACATGTCTCAGCTCGGTCTCGTTCTAGTTCTCCCTGCGTCACTTCCTGCCATCCCTCCCTCTCCTACGCCGCCGTGCACGCCCTGCGTTGAGGGCTGGCTGCGCCATGCTCCACATTCCTCCTCACTTCGCCCTGCCACCGTGCCACTCCAGACCCTCCACCTGGACGTATGGGGCCCAGCCCCCGTCCCTGGGCCGCGTCGCGAGCGCTACTTTCTCGTGCTCGTCGACGACTACACGCGCTATACCACGGTGTTTCCCTTGGCACGGAAGACCGACGTGCCTAACGTTCTTATCCCGTGGGTCGTAGCCGCACGCCTCCACCGCGGTCTCCCCGGGTTGTGTCTCCACTCCGACCATGGCGGCGAGTTCGCCTCTGGTCGGCTTGGACAGTTCTGTCGTGCGGAGGGCATCACCCAGTCGTACACCCTACTGGACTCCCCGCAGCAGAATGGGTCGCTGAGTGACGCATCGGTTTGGTCATGGAGATGGCTCGTACCTCCATGATCCATGCCGGTGCACCCCATTTTTTGTGGCCTGTACCATTCGCTACACCGCTCACCAGCTCAACCTGTGGCCGCACTCCCAGCGGCCGCAGGTTTCACCGACCCTTCTTTGGACCGGGTTCCATGGTGACACGTCCGCGTTCCACGTCTAGGGCTGCCTCGCTCACGTTCGTGCCTCTGGCACAAACAAGCTCACTGCCCGCACTGTCCCCTGTGTCTTCCTCAATTTCCCCCTTAACTCATCTGACTGCCACTTTTACTACACGCCGTCTCACCGCTTCTTTCACTCCCGTGACGCCTCTTTCGACAAGTCTGTCTCCTTTTACCACCGCTTTCCCCACCGAAGTCTTCAGGTTTCCCCGCCCCTGTTTCTAGTTCCCACTCCCCCGATAGCCCTTGCTCCCCTCCCTCCCCATCCTGCTCCGTTTGGTGTGACTCACGTCACTCCCCTCCTGTCGATTGTCCTGGACGAGGAGTCGGCTGACTCTGGTGGCCCCACAGTACAGTTCTCGCCACCTGCCTCTTCCCCGGTGTCGAACGGCTGCTGCTGCTGCGGCGGCGGTGGCTGTTGCGGCTGTGGCTGCGACGACAGCTGCGGCTGCTGCGGTGGCGGCGGCTGCTGCGACGGCAGAGGGTGCTGGCGTTGAGGAGGGTGCTAGTCGTGGGGTTCATATCGTGGCTTGTCCCGACAGGCCTAGGGGTGGCACCGGTGCTGGAGACGGTTCTCGCTCTAGGGGTGCTCTTTATGGGGGTGCAGGAGTGGAGTGTTTCAGAGGTAGCGGTGGTGCAGCTGGCGGTCCAGGTGTTGGCATCGAGCAGCAGCAGCAACAGTCGCCGCCGGTGTCCTCCCTTCGCCTACTCGGCCTTCCCTCCCCCGACCGCTCGCTTGCGCTTCCCCCTCCCCCTCCTCCCCTTCCTGTCTACGGCACTGTGTTCCCTCCGCCGGACTCGTCCCTAGCTCGTTTTCCCCCTCATTTCCCTCCTATTACCCCTCCTGTGTCTCCTGGCCCGACGCCTCCGCCCCACTTCTGGCCTCGCTGTCCCTCTCGTGCTTGTCCTGTCTCTCCTGTTTAGCATTCTCACCCTATGTTGCTTCGTTCCCACGCGTCTCGTCCTCTCCTCTTGCCTTCGCCTCCTCCGTCGTCGCTCGTTGTCGCACCGCCTCCTATGTCTGACTACCTTTGTGCCTCTCGTCCACTTGTTCCTCGGGTCCTTACCTCCCTCGTTATCGACCCGTCTGTTCCTGTCGCCAGTCTTGACGCTCTTGTCGCTGCTATCGCTGACTTCGCCTCTACCCACCGCCTTGACTACGCCACTGCTCTGGTCTCTGACCCTGTCGATCCTCCGTCCGTCGGGGGTGCTCCTGCCCTTGGCAGTGACATCGTAGAGGACAGGCAGTACGAGGTCGCTTTCCTGTCTGAGGCCGCTCCCCATCTCCGTTCCATGCTGCTAGGGTGACCCAGACGACCTTGACATCCCGACCCCTCGCACTTACGCTGAGGCGACCTCGGGACCCTAGGCCTCACAATGGATAGCTGCCATGGAGCAAGAGATGGCATCTTGGAGATCCACCGGCACCTACATCGACGCAGTTCCCCCGCCTGGGGTGAACGTAGTCGATGGCTGGTGGCTCTTCAAGGTGAAGCGCCCCCCTAGAGAGCCATCTATGTTCAAGGCACGCTACGTGGCTAGAGGCTTTAGTCACCGCGAGGGTGTGGACTTCTTTCAGACCTTCGCCCCGACCTCGAAGATGACTACTCTTCGGGCGCTGTTACACGTAGCAGCGCAGCGTGACTACGAGCACCACTCTCTCGACTTCTCTACTGCTTTCCTTCAGGGCAGCCTACACGAGCAGGTCTACCTACATCACCTACAAGGCTTCACTGGTACCTTCCCCCATGTGACCAAGTGGCTCCTCCGATGCCTGGTCTACGGCCTGTGACAGGCGCCTCGTGAGTGGCACGACACTCTGCGTGCTACGTTAGCTGACCTGCAGTCTTTTCCGTCGTCTGCAGACCCCTCGCTCTTCGTTCATGCTGGCCAGACCCTGTTCTACATCCTTGTCTTTGTAGACGACTTGGTCTTCGCTAGGCAAACAGAGATGCACTGGCCTTCGTGAAGGCCGAGCTCTTGAAGAGACACACCTGCGCTACTACCTTGACCTGCAGATCTCCAGGGACAGAGCAGCACACACCATTACTCTCACACGGTCACACTTGGTGCACCAGGTCCTTCAGAGGTTCGGTATTCAGTTCTCCTCTGCGCAGCCCACACCTCTTCCAGTAGACCACAGGCTCTCTGCTCCAACTCCTGAGGAGTCAGTCGAACCCAGTGGTCCTTACGCAGTGCTTGTGGGTTGCCTTATGTACCTGATGACTTGCACTCGTCCAGATCTCCCATACCGTCTCAGCATTCTGGCTTGCTTTGTGGCGTCAGGCAGACACCAGCCACAGCACTGGTCGGCCGCTAAAAGGGTTTTGCGTTATCTAGCAAGTACATCGGGCATGGGACTCGTGCTGGGAGGACGCAGGCCAGTGGTCCTTACAGGGCACACAGACGCTTCATGGGCAGACGATGCTAAGACACTCAGGTCCTCGCAAGGCTACTGCTTTAGCCTTGGTTCAGGTGCCATCTCGTGGAGGTCCACTCGCTCCTCGTTTGTTGCTCAGTCTAGCTGTGAGGCTTGGATCTACGCCGGTGCCATGGCGGCATAGGAGCTCCGATGGCTGACCTTCTTGCTCACCAACTTAGGTGAGCGGCCTTGCTCTGCCTCGGTTGTGTACGCTAACAACAGGGCCATGATCCTCCTGTGTCAGGAGCCTTGAATTGAGGGCAGAGCGAAGCACATCCAGCTGTGGTACATCCTTATGCGCGAGCTACAGCAGCGCCTCCGGTGCCAACACAGCTGATATCTTGACTAAGGCGCTTGCGCCTAAAGATCATCAGCGGCACTGTTTGCAGCTTGGTCTAGTTCCTAGCTCCTCACTTGCTAGGACCTTGATTGTGTACTCCTCTTTATTTATACCTTCCAGACTGGCCTTGTGGCATCTCTTGTCGTGCCGCCCTGGTTTGCTCTTGTCTTGTTTGTACTCTTTCTAGCTGGTCTTCGGACCCCTACCTCAGAGGTTGGACTAGTAGTGCCACCCTGAGGTGCATGTTCCTTGCTCAACACTGCTACTTATCTAGCCTAGGGGGTGTGTCAACTTATACATATGTTTATGTGTAGATGTTATAGGCTAGATAGGTTTGTGTTCATAGAGGGTACAACTCCAACCCTATATTTCTCCTGTTCTCACTTGTTCTAGTTATTCTATCAGTGCTGTCGTGGAGAGTCCCGGGGGTAGCCGTGGTGAGGCTAGACGCTCTGGTATGGGCGCGGAGAAACAGCAACAGCGGCCACAGCAGTCGCCGCCGGTGTGCGCCCTTCACCTCCTTGGCCTTCCCTCCCCCGACCGGCCGCCCATGCCTTACCCAGTGCCACCTCCTCCACCTGTCTACGGCCCTGTGTTTCCTCCGCCAGACTCATCCTTGACCCGTTTCCCCCCTCGTTCTCCTCCTGTGTCTCCTGACCCGACGCCTCCCTCCTGCTTCTGGTCTCGCCGTCCCTTACATGCTCGTTCCAGTCTCACCGGTTCAGCATTCTCACCCTATGTTGCTCCGCTCTCATGCGTCTCATGCTCCTCTTCTCCCGTCGCCTCCCCATTCGTCCCTTGTTGTCTCTCCGCCTCCTCTTTCTGACATTCCCTGTGCTACTAGTCCACTTGTTCCTCGGGTCCTCGCCTCTCTGGTTACCGACCCGTCCGTTCCTGTCTCCAGTCTTGATGCTCTTGTTGCTGCCGTTGCTGACTCTGCATCTACCCGCCGCCTTGACTACGCCACTGCTTTGGTCTCTGACCTTGCCCGTCCTCCGTCCATCGGGGGCGCACCTGCCCTTAGCAGTGACGTCCTAGAGGATAGGCAGTACGAGCTAGCTTTCCTGTCCAAGGTCGCTCCTCATCTCTGCTCCATGCTGGTAGTCCCTGAGGGTGACCCACACGCCCTTAACATCCTAACCCCTCGCACCTACGCTGAGGCAACCTCAAGACTCTGGGCCTCTCAGCGGATAGCTGCCGTGGACGCGGAGATGGCATTTTGGACATCCACCGGCACCTACGCCGACGCAGTTCCCCCACCTGGGGTGAACGTAGTCGATGGTCGGTGGCTCTTCAAGGTGAAGCGCCCTCTAGGAGAGCCGCCGGTGTTCAAGGCGCGCTACGTTGCTAGAGGCTTCAGTCAACGCGAGGGTCTTGACTTCTTTCAAGCCTTCGCCTTGACCTCAAAGATGACCATTTCGGGAGCTGCTTCGCGTAGTAGCACAGCACAACTACGAGCATCACTCCCTCGACTTCTCCACAGCGTTTCTTCACGGTAGTCTGCACGAGCAGGTCTACCTCCGCCGTCCGCCAGGCTTCACTTGCACCTTCGACCTTGGGAATGAGTGGCTCCTTCGACGCCCGTTTTACAGTCTGCAGCAAGCGCCCCGTGAGTGGCACGACACGCTGCATGCTACATTAGCAGACATGCAGTTCTTCCCGTCCTCTGCTGACCCTTCGCTCTTCGTTCGCTCATGCCAGACCCCGTTCTATATCCTAGTCTACTTAGACAACCTGGTCTTTGCTACTACAGACAGAGATGCACTGGCCTCCGTGAAGGCTGAGCTGCTGAGAAGACACACCTGCACTGACCTAGGAGAGTTACGCTACTACCTTGGCCTGCAGATCTCCAGGGACAGAGCAGCACACACTATCACTCTCACACAGTCACACTTGGTATGCCAGGTCCTTCAAAGGTTCGGCCTTCAGTTCTCCTTCGCACAGCCTACACCTCTGCCAGTAGATCACATGCTTTCGACTCTAGTCCCTGGTGAGTCAGTTAAGCCCAATGGTCTGCACGCAGAGCTGGTGGGTTGCCTCATGTACCTGATGATTTGCACTTGTCCAGATCTCGCATACCCTCTTAGTATCCTGGCTCGCTTTGTGGCGACAGGTAGACACCAACCCCAGCACTGGTCGACCGTTAAGAGGATTTTGTGTTATCTAGCAAGCACATCGGGCATAGGGCTAGTGCTGGGAGGACGCAGGCCAGTGGTTCTCACACGGCACATAGACGCTTCGTGGGCGGATGACGCTGGTCCTCCTAGGGCTACTTCTTTAGCCTTGGTGTAGGTGCTATCTTATGGAGGTCCACCCGCTCGTCGTCTGTTGTACAGTCTAGCTATGAGGCTGAGATCTACGCTGGTGCCATGGCGGCACAGGAGCTCCGCTAGCTGAATTTTTTGCTCAAAGACTTAGGTGAGCGGCCTAGCTCTGCCCCGGTCCTGTACGGTGACAATAGGGCCATGATCCTCCTGTGTCAGGAGCCTCAACTAGAGGGCAGAGCGAAGCACATTCAGCTGCGGTACTTCCTCCTGCGCGAGCTACAGCAGCGCCGCCAGGCCCGCGTAGTACACTTGGCCTCCGGTGCCAACACAGCTAATATATTTTCTAAGGCGCTTACGGCTAAAGGTCATCAGCGGCATTGTGTACAGCTTGGTCTAGTTCCAGTAGCTTTACACTTGCTAGGACCCTGATCATGTACTACTCTTTATATTATCTTGACTGGCCTTGTGGCTCTTGTTCCAGTGGCTGGAATAGTAGCGCCGCCCTGGGTTACTCTTATTTAGTTTGTACACTCACTGACTGGTCTTCAGACCCTTGCCTTAGAGGTTGGTCTAGTAGTACCACCCTGAGTTGTGTGTCTCTTGCTAGGCACTGCCCTTTGTCTAACCTAGGGGGTGTATCAACTTATATATATTAGTTGTTATAGGCTGGATAGGTGCATGCTCTTAGAGAGTACAACACCAAAGCATAAGAACCCTTGTATGCCCTTGTCTAGTTCACTTCATTACGCTAACAAGTTGTAGCCAATTCCGCCGTCTGAGCGCACGTGGCAGCAGGTGACGATGGATTTCGTCACGGGATTTCCTGCCAAGGACGGCTGTAATGACGCGATATTTGTCGTCGTTGATAAGCTGACAAAGATGGCCCACTTCGCCGCCTGCAAGAAAAGCATCTCAGCCAAAGAAACAGGTCGCCTCTTCATCTCAACCGTCGTTCGCCTCTACGGAATCCCACTTCCCATCATCTCATATCGTGACACAAAATTTACCAGTAACTTTTGGCGCAACCTTTGGGGGAACAGTTTGGCACGTGCATGCAATTCTCCTCCGCCTACCACCTTGAGAATGACGGACAGATCGAACGGGCCAATCAGACAATAGAGCAGCTGATTCGCGCCACCTGCGATGACGTGGCCGATTGGGAACAGCAAATGCCAGTGATTGAGCTCGCGTATAATGACGCCCCGTCAGCCACTACATGGCAGTTACCATTCTACATGAACTACGGGCAGAACCCTACGGTACCGATCATGCCCAACATCGAAAATACAGTACCACGAGCCCAACAGTTCGCCGAAATATAACAAAATGCCCGGGAGCGAGCTGCCAAAGCCATTAAGCGCGCGAATGTTATTTCTAAGCGCAATGCAAATTTACACCGACGAGCAGTAACTTACCAGGCTTGAGACTTAGTATTGCTCGACACCCAGAACCTTCGATTGCCCATCGTCCCAAAACTCCGCCCCCGCTACTGTGGACCATTCACCATCAGCCACATGATATCTTCTGTTACAACCCATCTACTGTTACCAACCACATGGAACGTCAGCCCATCATTCCACGTGTGATTACTTCGACCATACATCGCCAACACCAGTAAATTACCACGTCACCGACCGCTCGCCGAGCCTACTGTCGAACTTGCGAATGTTCTCAGCCATCGGATCAAAGAACCTCGATGAGCTCGCCTGGTCGAGTTTCTGATATCCGGGAAGGACCGGTCGGCCCTGGAAAACAGTTGGGTGCCCCTATCACAGATCGAGAATTATCCGGTGTTACGAGTCCACCTCCAGTCTCGCAATGTGCGCGACGTCGGCGGTCTTAACTAAGACCATACCTTGGAGGGGGGAGGGTGTAAGGAAATGGTATTTCCTTATCACAGGTTTTAGTCAGTAAGGCGTACACTGCTATAACGGGGTTGCCGCGCAGCTCTGTCACGAAATTCAAATTGCGATCCCAAATGTGGCCTCCTGACGAGCCGCATACATTGTTGCCCGCCTTGCTGTTGCATGCCTAGATCTGGGTGCTCCGCGCCATTTTACGAACCACACGTCGCAGCTCTGCCGAGCCACGACCGTGGGCTCCTAGGCTAGCTATATTCATGCTCCCTACTGTTTTGATGTTGCCTAAGTTGTATTGTTTCCTCGCTAATCAATCCTTCTACACACGCTCTTTGCGCTTAATTACAATTTCTGATAAGTGACATCGTTTTCTGGTTACGCTTGATGGGTGTTTCAGCGGAGAACGTTTGAATATTGTGACAGACCCCTGCGGAGTCGCATTTTTCCCGCGCTTTTTCCTTGCATCTTCTTCTGACGTGGTGGGCTCTCGTCCCCTGCCAAGTTTTTGCCAGGCGCAACCAATGAGGCGGTCTTGGGGACTCGCCGACTGTCGTCGAACCGAAACCAGCCTTCCCGAGCCAAATCATCCATGACCCCCCCCCCATGCATCCGCCCTGTGCACTTGCGAGGCAACAGCATTCTTTTTTTTCTGGCTCCATCCATGGGGATGCCATTTCAGTTCCGTTGACCGTCGTCAGTGCAGGCATTCCCTGAGTTGCGTTTCCTAGAATCAGGATACAGCCTGCCTGACGAGGAGCAAAACGCAGCAGCTATCGGACTTCGCTTCAGCATTACCAATGGTGTCATAGCTTTCGTAGTTAAGTAGCCACTGCGCGCGCGTTTTGACGCTAATTGGCGTCCAGAGTTTTTCGTTTTTTTACGATTTCCTTGCCCGCATTAGTTAGTCTGTTCGGATCAGATTCTTGGGTAAGCTGAGGCTTGCTCTTGATCCAGTATTGAACTAGATTATGCAGCTGACCAGACACCCCTACTACTAATCTAAAGACTAAAACCATGGGGTTGGAAGATTACCACGTGATAGAACTAGTAGGCGAGGGTTCGTTCGGCAAGGTCTACAAGGGGCGACGAAAGTTCACTGGTCAGGTGAGGAGAGTCGTCAGCACGCTTCAGTACGAATCAGACGTTCCTGGGTTACCTGGATCTCCACTCACCTTCCTGGCTCCTGCTGTCGCCGCAGATGACGGCGATGAAATTCATTCTGAAGCACGGGAAGAGCGAGAGGGACATCAAGAACCTGCGTCAGGAGATCGAGGTACAGCCGCTTCCGCTTGCGCTTCCGTTACTTGCTGTGCCGTATTTCGATCAGGACATCTCAGCACATTTCGATTCTGACTGTCACCCGCTATTAAGCCTTTAACGCGTACATTCCTTCTGGTTTTTTGGTTCCCGTTGCCCTCTCCGCCATCTCGGATCAGATTCTCCGGAAGCTGAAACACGAGAACATCATCGAGATGCTCGATGCCTTCGAGACCCCGCAGGAGTTCTGCGTCGTTACGGAGTTCGCACAGGTGAGAATCCCTCCCTCCCAGCCTCCCTCCCGGCCTCCCTCCCGGCCTCCCTCCCGGCCTCCCTCCCAGCCTCCCCCTCACCGTCGTCTCCTTCCCATGGATTTCTGCGGCATCATTCCAGCTTCCAGGAGTTCTGCGTTATGGCGGAGTTCGCGCAGGTGAGGCACCCTCTCTCCGTTGCGCCATCCCAGCCTCCCTCCCACAGCACCGCCTTCTTTCCGAGATGCCGTGCTCGATCCTGATGACGTTCCCCCCTTCAAGTTTCTTCCTGATCCAGCACGTGTCTCCTCTCTTTCCTCTTCGCTGGCGTCCCCGTTCCATTGTCCTGCCAGGGCGAGCTGTTCGAGATTCTGCAGAATGACCAGGCGTTACCCGAGTCCCAAGTCCAGGTCATTGCGAAGCAGCTGGTAAGCAAACTGACAAGCAGTAACGAGCAGCCTGTACCGTTCCAAGCCCCTGCAGGACTGTAAGCCCTACACCCCACTGGATAGCTGCTTATCCCTCCCTTACCCGCTTCCCCTCCCCAATATCCCCTTTTCGTGACACCTCCCCCCTTCTCCCTGCGCCAAACGATTCAGGTCCGCGAGCTGTACTACCTGCACTCGAACCGCATCATCCATCGCGACATGAAGCACCTGATCAGTCTGGCGGGCACCCATCCCCTCCCCAGCCTCAACCCCTTCCCCATTCCCCATGTCCCCTTTTCCCTTCGCCCACGAGTCAGGTGCGCGCGCTGTACTACCTGCACTCGAACCGCATCATCCATCGCGACATGAAGCCGCAGAACATCCTGGTGGGCGCGGGCGGCATCATCAAGCTCTGCGACTTCGGCTTCGCACGCGCCATGTCGTGCAACACCATGGTGCTCACGTCCATCAAAGGTGAGCCATGTCGTGCAACACCATGGTGCTCACGTCCATCAAAGGTGAGCCATGTCGTGCAACACCATGGTGCTCACGTCCATCAAAGGTGAGCCATGTCGTGCAACACCATGGTGCTCACGTCCATCAAAGGTGAGCCATGTCGTGCAACACCATGGTGCTCACGTCCATCAAAGGTGAGCCATGTCGTGCAACACCATGGTGCTCACGTCCATCAAAGGTGAGCCATGTCGTGCAACACCATGGTGCTCACGTCCATCAAAGGTGAGCCATGTCGTGCAACACCATGGTGCTCACGTCCATCAAAGGTGAGCCATGTCGTGCAACATCATGGTGCTCACTTCCATCAAAGGTGAGCCATGTCGTGCAACACCATGGTGCTCACGTCCATCAAAGGTGAGCCATGTCGTGCAACACCATGGTGCTCACTTCCATCAAAGGTGAGCCATGTCGTGCAACACCATGGTGCTCACGTCCATCAAAGGTGAGCCATGTCGTGCAACACCATGGTGCTCACGTCCATCAAAGGTGAGCCATGTCGTGCAACACCATGGTGCTCACGTCCATCAAAGGTGAGCCAAGCAGTGCAATGCAACGCCATGGTGCAGGAGCAAGCTTGGAGATGAAAGTACCCCTGATCACCCACCCCTTCCTCCTCCCGCCTCCGTTCCCTTGCCTTGCAGGCACGCCCCTGTACATGGCGCCGGAGCTGGTGCAGGAGCTTGTTAGAGGCTCCTTTGAGCGTCCTCTATCACCCACTCCTTCCTTTCCTCTACTCTCATGCAGGCACGCCCCTGTACATGGCGCCGGAGCTGGTGCAGGAGCTTGTTAGAGGCTCCTTTGAGCGTCCTCTATCACCCACTCCTTCCTTTCCTCTACTCTCATGCAGGCACGCCCCTGTACATGGCGCCGGAGCTGGTGCAGGAGCTTGTTCGAGGCTCCTTTGAGCGTCCTCTATCACCCACTCCTTCCTTTCCTCTACTCTCATGCAGGCACGCCCCTGTACATGGCGCCGGAGCTGGTGCAGGAGCTTGTTAGAGGCTCCTTTGAGCGTCCTCTATCACCCATTCCTTCCTTTCCTCTACTCTCATGCAGGCACGCCCCTGTACATGGCGCCGGAGCTGGTGCAGGAGCTTGTTAGAGGCTCCTTTGAGCGTCCTCTATCACCCATTCCTTCCTTTCCTCTACTCTCATGCAGGCACGCCCCTGTACATGGCGCCGGAGCTGGTGCAGGAGCTTGTTAGAGGCTCCTTTGAGCGTCCTCTATCACCCACTCCTTCCTTTCCTCTACTCTCATGCAGGCACGCCCCTGTACATGGCGCCGGAGCTGGTGCAGGAGCTTGTTAGAGGCTCCTTTGAGCGTCCTCTATCACCCACTCCTTCCTTTCCTCTACTCTCATGCAGGCACGCCCCTGTACATGGCGCCGGAGCTGGTGCAGGAGCTTGTTAGAGGCTCCTTTGAGCGTCCTCTATCACCCATTCCTTCCTTTCCTCTACTCTCATGCAGGCACGCCCCTGTACATGGCGCCGGAGCTGGTGCAGGAGCTTGTTAGAGGCTCCTTTGAGCGTCCTCTATCACCCATTCCTTCCTTTCCTCTACTCTCATGCAGGCACGCCCCTGTACATGGCGCCGGAGCTGGTGCAGGAGCAGCCGTACAACCACACGGTGGACCTGTGGTCGCTGGGCGTCATCCTGTACGAGCTGTACGTGGGGCAGCCGCCCTTCTACACCAACTCCATCTACACGCTCATCAACCACATCATCAAGGCAAGCGCTGAACATAGCAGTTAGAACCTTCTCTTGGGGTTCCTTAAGAGGCAGCCGCCCTTGTACACCAACTCCAGCTACACGCTCATCAACCACATCATCA